GCATCGTCAGAAGGGAGGTTCGTGAAAATTCAAGGTCAACTTACATCAAGCCCAGTGCCTTTGATAATGCCATCTGCCGTTCTCTTCAAGGCGGGCCAATTACTGGACTTGGAGAACACAGATTTGACATCTTCCCATAAGCCAACCTTGGGAACAATAGGGTTCTATAGATGTCAGCAAATATGATACAATGTCGGCAGTGATACATACTCCAATGAGTTTGTCGCCGTGATACTTGGCGTACTTCTCAGCTTCTTTCTTGTTTCTAAGTTGCAACGTGAGTTGCATCAGATCCTCATCTTGCTTGCTCATCACAGGCTCATGTGAGGGTTGAGAGTGGCCATTCATGATGACTGTCAGGAAGGTTCTGCGGTACTACTAAAAAACAACACGAGCAGGAGATAGGAGTGGGAGGTACACTTGGTAAGAGTGACTTGTGTACACTTTTTTGAGCTGAAAAAGAGGAGATGAGACGAAATGAGATAGTGTGAAGCAACAAAACGTTTCGCGATGCTTCCTTTGAGCTGGTGCAGCCTGGGGCCTATTATCAGTCCATGTAGATGGGGTATCAGCGTGAAGATTGTGAGTGCACTGTGAAGACAAACTACCGATCAGACCCTGCCTCGCTTACTCCGCTCTATCAGAACCAATTCTCGGGCATTGTTATCCATATTTCGGCATCTGCGACGCCAAGAAAACCGTATTCATTATGTTTCTGGCTAATCCCCGCTCAACTCTTGAGCTGACGAACCTTGCATACAGCGTGGCTGACATTCATGTACAGCTCATTCGTCATCGTGACATTTGTTAGTCCGCCGCTATTGATTTCATGCATTCGCTCCTCCAGCTATCACAAAAGAACTGATTCTTCGGTATACCAAGAAACGACTAAACCAGATCATTACAAGACAAAGTTCGGAGCTGAACATGATCATGCATACAAGCAGCGGTTATCACGGCTGTAGCCCAATACCGGACCGTTATCACATTCCCCGCTCAGCCACTTCCAAATTCACCCACTCAACTCTCCACACGGCCCGTTGCGGCTGGCTGACCGCTAAAGGGCTCAAAATAGCGCCTTGTTCAGACTAAAGCAGAAGTGCTCAGGCCACCTTCGGAGCTGAAAACGCGTGCATCATCAGCCGTTGGTGAGATCAGCATCATCACATTCCTCTTCTAGCGGTTTCAGGGCCGCCAAACGCCGTGTGGCATGAGCAGTTGCAGTTGTGTTGTGCACTAATGCGCCAAGGACTATCCCGTAACCCAGGTTATCAACCGGTCAGGTATTCGGCGCTTGTCGTGAGGCTGTTGTCCCCTGCTGGTACCGTGCGCCGGTGAGGAGAGACCTAACTGCAGCAAGTTTACCTAACTGAGTGAATAAGTTGCCAGTTTCAGCAAGCCACCAGACGTAAGCAGTAATGCAGCTCTTGCATCCAATTCTTTTTGGTCCTCCCACGTACATCCGATGTCTCAAACTCTGGCTTTAGTAGTGCGGCTGATCATGGGACTATTGGAAATGCTCAGCGCTCAACTGGGCGCCACAAATACCACGCTACAGCCTACAGGTCTGGACTCCAGTGTACTCAACCTCGAAACCACTGGTCAATGATAAGAGAGGTTGGCTAATGACCGTACAGCTTCCTCGTTGTTGTATAACAGCTCAAATTGATTCAAGCAACATTACTCCCACGTCTTTCAAGTTTCCGCCGTTGCGAAATCAATTCATTTGCCTTCCCTTGTTCAACCTCCATCACTTCACGAGCCTCAAAGTCCATGTCATTCATCGTTCCAATGCCTCCTTCACCCGCAGTTGGAGAATTTGCAAAGGCTCCTCCCAATGCCAGCAGAAGTCCATGCCCCGTCGTGAATGCTCTTGCAAACCATGGCTATCTTGAGCGCAGCGGACGTGGCATTTTCATGGATGATCTTAACGCCTCAATGAAACACGTCGGCATGAGTCCTCTCCTCGGCTCTGTCTTTGCCATTCCAACCTACTTTGAGTACCAAAACCCAGCCAAAGCATACATGAAAAAGCCTGTTGGCACATGGCAGAGGATTTGGTCCCTCATCAAGAATCCTTACTCCTTCTTTGACTATTTCGGTTGCTGGAATGCGAAACAGATTAGTGATGGAAAGAAGTATCTCAATCTTGTTGATCTTGCATCTCACGGCGCTATCGAGCACGACATCTCCCTGTCAAGACGAGACATTGCTCAGAAGCAAGGAAACAATGATCCTCAACAAGACTTGATCGAGGAAATGTTGGACTATTCTTTTGATGGTGAAACACTCACCATTGAAGACCTTGCCCGGTTCATCAAAGCCCGCATCTCACGTCAACTGGAGGATAATCCAGAGTTGGTTTATGGACCAGCTGAACATCAGGTCAACTGCGGCCAAATCGCGCTGATGATGGGCTGTTTTGGAGATGGAAAGACGATTCCCGTCAAGTATGTCAAAGCTATCTTTGAAGACGAGAGACTGCCTATTGAGGAAGGCTGGAAGAGGAGATCATGGTGGACAATGGGTCTTGTCGAGTTCTTTGGTGCTGTCAAGAAGTTGGTCAATGCTGTTGGCGTGGAGTTCTAGCTATCATGTCATTGATCGTATTATTAATTTTACAATTCTATACATGTCTGATTCTACTTGTGAGTAATAAATCAGTTGAGAGCAAAATAATAAATTCAGTCGCCAAGGCTTGCAGAAGGTCGAATGAGCTCACGTGCAACCTTTCCTTTCTAAACATCATGATTAATTGGGAACTGCCTAAGACAGGCTGCATAATAACCAATACTCCATATCTCGAGAAAATCTCCTAAGATAGCTTTGTCTATACTCCATAATGATCAGCCGCTTGGAGGGCCTCAATCTCAGAAGCTTCAATATGAGCCTTATCCTCTTTCGGACCAAATGGACTTTTGAAAAGATACCATGTTTCTGAGAAGTCTACAAATGCTCAAATTCCACGGCTCATCAATAGCCAGCCAGCCACAGAAATAGCACTAAGCCAAAGACGAGTAGAGGGCGGCTTACAGCGAGCTAGCGCTGAGGGGTAACTAACTATTGCAAAAACTAATGCAGGCCGGGGTAGGCGCTAAAGCCAATATTGCGACCCTGAACGCTGTCCATGCTGCAGCCAAGAATGTCTTGGGGATTGTAGATGTCTCAGTTCAAGTAAACATGGCAGCGAGTGAATTGTGAATCATCGTTTGTTATCCTTAGATACAGCTACGTTGAGATTTTCAGCTCTCTCCGCTGACCATCCAATTATCACATTGAACCTTCAACCGGTCAACGGCTCGCCCAGTGGCGCACTGCAAACTTTCAGTATACTCTCAGCTGGAATTCCTTAACGAGTAAAGATCCAAAAGACCATACGCAACCAGGGCCTTAGCTGTGTATTATGATGAATGCCAGTTTGGCTTACAGTGCGATAACAACTTGTCCAGTGGTTTCCATGCATGAAGCTTTGTAATGTAAATGCTGGCTCTTCCCTCGTTATTGTTCAAGGCTAGCTTACTATAACAACGGGTTCTTCTTTCGATTGCAGTCGTAAACATCCAACACCACCACCAGACAAGTATTTCATTCATTCCTTTTCACTGCATCTCAGACATCGCTACAAACAGCTTCATTCTCGTCATCACTTCCCCAAAACACCCTTCAATAAACACACAAACATGTCTTCCCTTCACGCCTATCTCCCAGCCCTCAAAGGGATCGCCATTGCTGGCAGTCTCATCAACGGCGGTACCATGACATCAGGTTACCGTCTACTTCCCTCAATCTACCCAACAATCCAAAAGTCGCCCAAAGATGCTGCAAAGCAATGGGAGTACTTTTACTGGTCTATGTCAGCGACCGTGCCATGGGTTGACCTGACCACAATTATTGTGATCGGCACTATTGCCTACGGAGAGTACAAGGAAAACAGCTCTGCTTTGCCTTGGAAGATCTGGGCTACTGCAGGAGGACTCATGCCCCTCGGTTGGATCTGGGTGCGAAAGGTGATGCTTGGCCCGTCTTACAAGCTTCTGGCAATTGCAGACTCCACGTCTACTGAGAATGAGCCTTTAAAGGCCAGTGCGAAGAATGTCTTGGACCTCATGCAGGAGTTCAATGCGCAAATGGCTTTGAGGATGATGTTTCCGTGGGTCGTTGGTGGACTTGCGCTCTGGGCCACCTTGGGCTTTTAGAAGTATGACCTCAAGGAGGATTTTTTTGAAGATAATGAATCGCGCGGAGCATGGTACTTATCTGTACGGCGACAGCATGTTGGAGCGCGATGTCTGGAGAGTGAGTGATAGCACGGCAGAACATTCAGAGAGTTTGGGTTGCAAATCACCACAGCCTGTTTCGTCTATGAATAAAAATGCGGCAACGCCTTTAGCCGTTCTTGGTGCAAGATACTGCGTTTGCTTGGTCGTTGTAGAAAGAGGTTCCATCGGAACGCTTTGCGTCGGAATTTGGGCGGCTGAGCTGATTCTGTTAGCTTAATTGAATGCCCTACGTGGTATTGCAGGCTGCTGTGCCCCCTCTGTACGATGTCGTCCGTCATAGCGATATGCATTGTGAATGACTTGGTCAACGTTGTTCTCGGTACTCATATTCTGTTCAAAACAAGTCCTGGACGACTTATTGCGTCAAGGATAGATATGTTTGTTTATATGATCGCCTGCAGTGAAATTACCAAGGTGTAGATTAATCTCTTGCTACTTCTAGACCGCAAGCGTGTGAGGACACAAAACTACGTTTAGACAAAAAATCATCAGCAGCACCATATTCCATGGTACTGAAGCGATTAGCAGACCAGGACTGTCCGCGGAGTCGGCACTTTTGGACGCCGACGATCTAAAGCACATCTAGTTAGTTTGGTCTGTCCATTGCTCTGAAGTGTAAACTTTACTTGATGATTAAGCGGGTAAAAGCCGGGATGCTGGTCTATGACTGGGTGTTTGCCGGTGTAACATACTCCGGCGTTTAACTGCATTTAGTAAGAAGAGACCGGAAGCAACCAAGAGCCGACTCCGAGAAGTAAGATTAAATCAATACCGTCAGATTACCCCAACGAACCTTGCACCATCAATCGTCTCTGAGCCTCAAATTCGACGGTAATCTTGAGAGACAGGAGTGAAAAGGACCCAGAAAGTATCAGCCGCGATGTCGGAGCCGCCACCAAACAATGGCTTCGTCGGTCGCGTCCGCGGCGCGTCGCTATCGATCATGAATGCGAACCCGCAGCTGGGCATGTGGCAAGCCACTGGTACAGCCATCGCCCAAGCGCCCAATCTCACTGAACTCCGCGACGCCGAATCTGGTGGCGATAAGATCGAATTCAATGCGCAAGGCCACTCCGCGCGCTACGCTGTCCCCGAGCCAGATGGCGAGCTCACGCTGGTCAGGACAGCGACACTCACCCGCAGACCAACGGGGCCAAAGTTTGACAAGGACCCTTTCACCGAGGAACCCATCGCTATTCCTGAGGAGGTAGACGTGGAACGGGGGTCGACGAGGGAGGAGACTGTCACTGAAGCGCCTGGGGAACGCCATCACCACCATTTTCATCCACGCGAAAAGCATCGACAGCGACTGGAGCGACGACAAAGTCTGTATGAGAAACACAAAGCTGACGAGAAGGAGAAATGGGGCCCAACAATCGTCAATGGCCTCAAGGCCTTTTGGAAATTCTTTCTCACGCCATCTGGCTTCCTCATCACGCTCTACGGTCTGAACATTGTGGTAAGTAATTATCCATTCCTTTCCTGAGTTCAGCTAACTAATCAATGTTCTACAGGCATGGGGCGTAAGTGGATTGACAACTCGATATCCTTTTTGCTGCACACCTCTAATTTATTATCCTAGGCAATGCTCTTCTTCCTCCTGCTGAATGTCGCACCAGCCATGAACCATCCCAGCGCCAATGACAACAACTCAGCGCGCAAGAAATGGATCGAGATAGACAGTCAGATCCTCAACGCCCTCTTCTGCGTCACGGGTTTTGGTCTCGCCCCATGGCGCTTCCGCGACTGGTACCGTTACACCCGCTCTGTCTACTGGAAAGACGTTCCTGCCATGCAGAAGCTGGCCGAGCAGAACAAGGCTTGGTTTCGACCTCCTGCCTGGGCGACTGAATCGAACCCGAGCCCGGCTGACTCGACTACCGAACTTCCTCGTTCGACCACGTTCACTGGCGAGAAGGCGCCTCCGACACCGCTTTGGAAATTGGGATTCACTATCTATATGATGGTGTTGAATACATTTCTGCAAGCCGTTTTGTGCTATTTCATGTGGGGGTATAATCGTATTGATCGTCCCGTAAGTTCACGTCTTCCAGTTCCCCTCAATAATTTGAGGTACGCGTACTGACTTTATGTCAAAGAGCTGGGCTACTGGTACTTTCATCGGCCTCGGTTGCGGGACAGGATTGTTGGCTGGTCTGATGTCGTGGTGGGAGGGCCGCAAGGTCAAGAAGATTGAGGGACCCGAGGTTAAAGTCGTCACTGTATGACGGGATCATAGTGCGCAAGGTCTATTCAAAGTCTTATAGAATTTTAATTTATGTAGTACCTCTAAAGTTCAATGTAAATCTCTGAGCTAGGACTCCAGAGAGAGCAATTCGATTATCAATTTACAGAAGCAGCATCATTGTGATTGCCCGTATTTCTGTGTGACCGGTAAGACGACTACGCAGTGTTGGCCCGACCCTCACTTATGCAAATTACACTAAATTAATGGTCCAGGTTAAGGGCAGGAAAATCGCACGCCAATAGCCAAATACGAAATACGCGTATAGCGGGGACCTCCGCGTATTGTGTTTCGCACGAGCCAATGACGTTTCTGTGGAGTTTGGAATTCAATACAGCCTTTAGGGGTTTCCAGTATTAGTGCAGTACAAGATGCTACAAAGAGACTCTTCCGTAAGGTATCACATAAATCTATATATCATGGCAACTTCTCTACATTCCGGGATATTGTAATTTCTGATTTATAGCTCTTTTGGGATTAAGATCTCAGTTAGGCTATTAATTATTCATAAGGCTGATGGTAAAGTGGAAAGTGGAAGTCTCGTACTAACATCCGAGATACCTGTAGGCTGTAGTCTGTGAGTCTTGAAAGACAGTAAGAAGATTATAAGTACCAGCCTTCGTGGTGCCTTGCCAATCCTTTCATTATATGCACAAGGCCGCGTAATTGCTGCAAGATATCAATATTCACAATGCATTACCGCCAATCACTCATACTGAACTGTGTAGCAAGGGCACTGGCACTCCCAAGCTCCCAGTTTATTATGTCGGCCGACAAAGCGCAACATGCGCCACCGAATCCAGAACCCATCAGCCTTTCAACACTTCCCCTTCCACCAGTTGCACCCAGCAGCGATACCGGGGCTTGCACGCCTGAAGTGAATCGAAATGGCACTGGATGCATGACTCTAGCATCAAACGAGGACTTCCAAGCAGGTGGCTTCTTACCTGATGGAAAGCATGTTTTGGTCCTCGTCACCTTTACAGGCGCTCCATCACCTCCGGACACTTCCAGCGTTTACAATGGTAGCCAGATCATCCTCGTTAAGACCGACGGCAAGGTATTCCCCAGTGGAAGTCCATGGAAGTGTCTCACTTGTGGACTGGCCGAGCAAAACATAAGAGGAGTAAGCCCAACATATAGCTACCCGCAGGCATTCGGCGATGGAAAAAGGATTCTATTTGGCACGAACATACTCGATTGCGGGGAGCATAAACTGGTTGATGCAGCTTGTACACCTGAGCGCACCCATGTTTATCCCATACGGTGGAATACTAGCCCTGATGGGACCGGGGAGGGCGGCGCCATTCGGGAACTGCGTTTGCACCCTGATGACGTCCATCTTGGATTCAATGTTTTCACAACAAACGGTGGAAAGATCGGTCAGTACGCGTACCTTGGAAGATTGAAGTTCAACGCGAAGCCAACAGCCGGCATACCACTTGTCCCACGTTATGATGTCGTCAAAGTCACTCGCCTGTTCAATCCAGAAGCAGATCAACCTATTGCGACACATGGGAAAGCTATTGCCATCAACCGGAACGCCATAACCGTGGGCGAGCTTCGTGGATTCAGTGGTAGAGGAACTGAAGTCACCTATATCGGTTATCCGGCCGAGTCCTCCAACATTGATGTCTTCGCTGTTCACCTGCAGACTGGCAAGGTCCGGCGACTTACTAGCCACCCAGAATATTGCGATCCTATCGCTATCTCACCTGACGATCAATGGATGACAGTTCTGGATACACGGGGAACAGACCGTCAAATGTGGCTCTCTGGCATGAGGCATATTCCGCCAATTACTGACCTCATCAGCACATCGGTTACATCCTCCACCAGAAACAACGGACAGAGACGATTCTTTAGACCGTACCTTCTGGATCGCTATGGTGATCGATCGGATTACTTTGGCCAGAAGATCCATGGTGAAGGGGAAGGTGTTCCCGGTAGTGGCGACTATAATGACCCTGAATGGAATGCGATGGCTGATCCTAGATGGTCTTCAGATGGCACTCAGATTGTTTACTGGGAGGCTCAAACACTTCCTCCTGCGTGCGGGGGAATAAATCCGCTTCCATGCTACCCGTCTAAAGAACCAGGAGGTAGACGAGTACGTGTAGTCTTGGCAACTCTGACAACTCGGGAGCCCTTCAATCTTCCTGCAGTTGATCCCATTTCAGACGAAGTTCCTTGGGGTGTCAAGTACTCTCCAGGGGGCATTGATCCACAGCGTCCAGAGCCGACACCTGGGAATTATACACTGGTGGGGCTCAGTTGTGGATATGCTGATGTTGAGATCATTGGGGGAGATGATGAATCTATCAGTGAGATCAGTGTAGTCTATCACGAGTTCTCAGACGATGGATCGACGTTCATGTCAGGGAGCGAAACAGTTCGCGCCACGTTTCCATCTCTGACGCTCAGCCATGTCGACTGGTATTCTGATCTGACTCAAACCGGAAGGTCAAAGAGTACCAAACGGACAAGCTCAGATGGCTTTCACCTCACCATTGATGTTTTGACAAACATCTTCCAAGCAAATGGGACCATGAACACTACCATTGATGGCCATCTCTACATACAGCCTGCGAACAGAACCTGAGACAAGGGGTTAAGGAAGCATTCCGTGGCATGTCGTAATCTATTGAAAGTCTCTCAAGGCAATTTATCTATTATACATGCATCTGATTATACTTCCCGTTTTCCAACAACAGGAACGCCCTATCCGCTGAAGCCCCCCGTAAGTCTTGAGGAACTATACGCTATGCAAAGGATACTCATCCACCGTATACCTAGGCTTTTCGTCCCCCAGAACGTTGATAACTTGGCTAGGGTGGAAGAGATTAAAGAGGATAGCAACAAAGGACATGAGCGTCGCATCAAAGATGTATATCCAATACTCTTCTGCCTGTAGCGCCCCGTCTTTGCCAAGAACATATTCCGCGACACGGAAAACGGAACGAACGAGGATAAAAAGGCTTGAAGCATAGAGGATGAAGATCAGCTTCTCCCAAGGAGTGTTCAAGACAAGAGATCGAGATGTTGGGCGAGAGCGAATCCGCATGTGAAAAACAACAGTGACAACCATGAAGAAGCCAAAAAAGAGGATCTGAATGAGCAATCCGCCAACAATCATGTTCTCACCCATCTTAACGCTATCTTTGTTCTTTGCTGAAGCGAGCATACCGCCACCGCCGCTCTGTGCCAGGAAGGATAGCACGTCGCCGATAACGAAAACCTTGGTCAACCACTTTGTTCGAATCAGCGATAAGTGACCGGCATCTAGAAGAACTATCAACCGGCCCAGGATCATATAAATAGACGCGGCGAGGAGGGCAGGACCGAGGAGAAGCAATATCGACTGCATGATATACGGGTTCTTGGTGTAGTCTGGAGCTTCGTTTGCGGAGAGCGCACGGCCCACGTAGCCAAACGCCTCAACTGTGGAGAATCAGCATTCTTTCATAGATGTGAAAACAAGGATACTATACTTACAGAGACAGCCGATGAGAAATGGGATGAAGTACCATGTTCGATGCCGGAACATTTGCCACATGTGAATAAGAGCGGCGGTGGTGAAGATGACGACAAATATGGCGGCCGCTGGTAAAGAGGGCTCATAATTGTAGAAAGTAAAACCTGCCATGATGCTGTTTTGAGAGAGTGATAATGGTGAAAAACGATTGTGGAGTTTGAAGTCTAATGCAAATGAGTGTGTTCGATTCCGTAATGACAGGGTAAATGGATGAGAAAGAGAAGGAAATGCAATGAAAGAATTGACAGACTAAAGAAAAAACAAGGTTAAGAACAAATAATGAGAAAAGACCAAGAATTATTTGTCTTTATTCCTGAACTACTTATAGAATGCATTGAGGAGTCGTGTATTGCAATACGCGGAGTTGGCCCCTGAATTCTCAGGGGCGCGTACCTGACACGGCAAGTTTCTCTAAGAGGGGGACTGGACTGCAAATGTCTTAAGCTTATTTCAAAGTCCCTTCACTAGCCATTCGAGTTTGCAGTGCATGTCAGTATCGGTTAATTCAGGTACGGATACTGCGGAAGGCCCATTTGCTATACACGTATAGCCAGTACCAGCAGGGATATCTGGACAGGATAAGTGGGACGGGTTTCGCGTATCGCTATTAACAGTGAGCCAGCTGGAATTTTCTATTTATAGGCATTCCCCAGCAGATATAAATAATACGGTTCTTCCTCCAGATTGCGCATTTCCAATGGAAAAAGGTTATTCGTCTTTGATACGTCCCGAATATCGCGGCGCAGCAACCCTTCCAACATGCATCTCATACGTTTGGCCAGACGTTTCCAGCTAGCAAAAAAACAAAAAGGTAGATAATCCCACAGCCACCAACCGCCATACAATAAGCTATATTTACTATGCTGTTATAGTTACTGTTTGGTAGTTAGCTTTGTTAATGCATTGTATACCAAGTGATTTCAAGCTGCAGCCTCTTTCTTAAATTGCCCATTTTTTTCTCAGTCTCTTGTTACATCATACTACCTATTTATAGTAACACTAAATGCATTCAAGCCACAGGTGAAGCTAGAGGTACATCATTATCACTCCACCAAAAATTCAGAAGTGCAGAGGAAAATAAACGATGTGCCTTTAAACCCGAAAGACCCCACTGCATTGACCATTTCAGAGTCCGTTCGCCATGTTAGTCGATTGCGACCAGCCAAATAGCATTTCCCGTTTACGAGAAAATAGTGGAATGCACGTGTGACAGCCGGGACTTGGGTCGCGTTTTTCTTCGGTTTTCTCTTTAACCTCCTTTCTATCTCCTTGTCCCGAGCTGTACCTTTAAACCTGAAATCTTCGAAAATGCTGAAGCCTGAGACACGTCTGGAATGGGCCTTTGTTGGCATAACAGCTGCTCAGGCTATTATCATCATTTCTCTGCAAACGTAAGCCTACGAATCTTTTTTTTTTTTCTGGCCAAACCAACTCACGATACAAGGGTCATTCTTGTGGAGTATCTCGATTGGGTGAATCCCGTTGTATATCAGGTCCCTGTCTCATATGTCACTCCCGTGGCCTCCGCTGTATCAATTATCAGTTTTGGATTCCAAGCTGTTCTGTCCGTGGATTCATGTCGCATTAAGAACAAGATTCAACTATGGACACAAGGTATCCTCAACATCTGCTTCTCAATTGCCATTGGGATGGAGTATTTCCAAGTGAAGGATGCCACGGAGAGAGTTAGTCGGGGGTACGATATGTACAAAAAGCCTTTTGCAGACAATAGTATGCCTTACTGGGAGATTGCTCGCCCAATGTTAATTACTTGTGTTGCTGTATCATCCGTATGCAGTCTTTGTATGTGTGCATTGGCTTACTACCTTCACATGGAGTTCTCCTGGTCTTTGTACGAGCACATCAGCCCGGATTTGCGGATGACAGCAAGACATGCCAAGTACCTGGTATGTGATCAAGTGTGCTAGCAGTACAAAGACTAACCTGATAGGCATATCTTGTCTTTCTCAAAGTCTCCCTCTTACTAATAACCCTATTCTTAATTACTTATGGCCTCGTGGACGTTCACTATCGGGAGCCAGAGTTTGGACTAACTATGACAATAATTCCCGTCTCAATCATTCACGCGATCCTTGCTGCTACATGCATCAAAAAGGAATACATGCCAGGCATGGTGTTGGTGATAGTATGTACCCCTCGAAAAATGATATAGCTGGAACTAACACCTGCCAAGATGTTTCATATCGCAGCGATAGTATACCTGACCACGCGACTCATGGTGCTGACTGGCGATGGCCTGCTGGCAAGCACATTGATGAAGGAAGAGATGTTGCTTTTTGCCACATTTGCGCTTGTCTTTACCATCATATCTATTGCTTTTGCTGTCCTGTGCATTTTCAATTTCGGAAAGGGACTCAAGCCGCTACTGCAAGGCCAAGGCACAAATAATATACCTACTTCAACGAGCGCATTGGAGCTCAACCCGCGGCACCTCAGCATCCGGACTATGGACTCTGAACGGATGTCCAAGCGGTTTGACATTGATTAGATCTCTATGGTACATTGTTGCCTGGGCTACACATTTGATAGTAGTTAGACTCCTTGCAAAGTCTCCACTGCTTATCTGAAAATGACCCTCAACTCATGAAGGAAAGATAAAGCGGTAGTGCTAGACCTTTCGTGGCCATGGTCCATATCCGCGAGTAGAGCCGAGGTAGCGGGTAACGTTCCCGCTAGCCGCAAAGATAATCCTGGTGCGGTGTTTACTCTAAGCTTGCTGCCCGCACCAATATTGCGCAAGGTTAATTACAAGCTTAATTTAATCTCAGCCACCCTTTGGTCATGTATCGAAGGAAGACTGAATGCAGTATGCCTCAGGATTGTTTAATATAAATAGCAAATTTGCTCTTGGTCTTGCCACTCTTGTTCCATGCATCTAAAGCACTTCGGCCTTCGGCTCACTGCCTTGACTCATAAGACACCAGCTCACTTCAATCTCGATGAATACGCAATCAGCACCTGCATAAGTTCCCCGAGTCAAGGAACGATTCTCCAAGTGTATGATGAAAGTTCGCCGCCGTGGTCGGACTGCCAAGTGATAACAGTGGATCACAGAGCTTGGCAAGACAAAAATCGCGGGGTTATAAGTTGACCTTTATCTTATTCGACAATGATAATCGCTTACTAGTATCAAGAGGGAAGCTCATTGCAACACCGGGACTTGGCTCGGAGGTTTCTAAACATATATAAAAGAAAGGAAGTCATGATTCAAGAGACCTTATCCAGCAAGCAACGATGCATTCTCTTGTGTTTTCAACACTACTTTCCGGAGCTGCGGCGCTCTCTTATGCCGGGAATAAAGTGCCTTTTGAGGCAGATCCTCCTCAAATTGCCGCCAACTTTCCGGATGTAGACCAAAAGCTCTACTCTCCAGCCTTCATCAATCCCGAGGGTGTTGCTCCGGGTTTCGCCAATGGCACATCGGCGCCAAACTCCCAGCAGACACTGGAACAGTTCTTGTGGACGCTTGCATCGCGAAACGAGTGGATGACCTATCACAATCCTGTATTCACTTCTGAAGAGGGACGCTCGATTCCTTATGTTGTATTATCTGCATCAAAATCGCTCTTGCAGACATCGGCAGTGGGCAACACCACAAACAAAGTCCGAGTCTGGCTGCAGGGCGGAGTTCATGGGAATGAGCCGGCTGGCGAAGAAGGACTCCTTGCACTTCTCGGTAAAATGGATGCTGAACCAGAATGGGCGCTTGGACTTCTGGAAAAGCTCGATATTATCGTTCTTCCACGATATAATCCTGATGGGTCGGCTTATTTCCAGCGTCTTCTTGCGACAAGCTTTGACCCCAATCGAGACCATACCAAGATGGCATCGCAACAGACCATGGAAGTCAAACAGTTGAATCTCAAGTTCAATGCTCATGTGCATCTTGATTGCCATGAGTATGGAGCCCGAAGAGGATTGACATATGAGAACAAGACATATATCCCAGCCCAGGATAACCAGTTCTCGGCGTTTAAGAACCCAAATGTCCATGCTGATATTCGATCAATGGCGGAATCTCTGTTTGTCCCAGAAGTTGCCAGCGCTTTGCGAAAGAAGAACCTTACAACAAATGGCTACGTCGTTGCATCACAAGAAAACGACACCATCAAGCTTCAAGACTTTGTCACCGATACTCGCGGCGAAGTCACTGTTTTCCTCGGTCAAGGACTGGCTTTTCTCTCTGAGACGAGAGGAATCGGAATTGGAGATCGCAACTTCCAGCGCAGAACAACAGCTGGGTTGACTGCTGCTGAGACGGTCTTGCAGATTGCCGCTGATAATGCGGCGCTGGTATATGAAACTGTTGAAGAAGCGAGGAAGGACTTTATCGAAAATGACCACGAGATCATTGTAAGGGATCAGCCAAGATGGATGGAGACAACATGGCCATACCTTGACGCCGAGACTGGAAACATCACAGAGGTTCCTGTTCTGTTCGGCAACAATACTCCTCCCGCAAGTAACCTTACCCGCGCACGTCCTGAAGCCTACATCTTCAGCAGAGCTTGGGCTAACGCAGCCCTTCGCCTTCGAGCTGCTGGTGTTGTCGTGGATGAGCTTGCTGTCGACTTTGAAGGTGAGGTGGAAGCATACAACATCACATCTGCTATGCTGGCAGAGACTAAGTATGAGGGTATTGCATTGACTACAGTGAATACTGAGTTGAGCAAGAAGACGATGAAGTTTCCTGCTGGGGCATATTGGGTTGGTACGAAACAGCAACATGCAGCCCAGGCCTTTGTCAGACTGGAACCCGAGAATCCAGATGGGTTTGTTACGTTCAACATCCTACCTGTCAATGCAGGAGATGAGCATCAGGTCTATAGAATTCCGTCCAAGAGTCAATAGTGTAGGACAGTAGGATGATAGCATAAATCAATGTATATATGAATTACTTCCGAGCCCTAAATATATCTACTTGTAGAAAGTGAGTACTGCCTAATTTATCTAAAATTCGCGTGGTAGTTATGCCCTTCTGCGGATGTCTCGAAACAAACGAGATACGAGATAACTACAGGAATGCGATGACTCTCAGTATCAAGCTTTCAATTGCCCATGGTGGGTGGAGTCTTGGGCGGCTAATATCGGAGGTTGGCTGGTCCGCTCTGCCATGGCAGAATTAACCGACGGATATTTAATCTCAAGCTATCCCTGGCATGTGTATCCACTAGCAAATACCAATGATATCCTACCCAGGTGCCGATCTTGTAACATCGAGATAAAAAATTCCTCAGAGGAGTGATAGCTCACTGAGAAATATTAAATGTGAAAACTAAGTCTGAATGACTGCTTTCTACTCGGGGTTCAAACTGAAAGGACTTATACAAATCACAAATCGAGTGAAACTGTCATAGGTACAGATATCTCATTCTTCATCACTTCAACTATCTCCATCTTATATATTCCAAGCCATCTACTCCGTTTTCTACTCAAAGACGTGCATCTACCAAACATCACAACACAATGTCGCCGACCTCTTCACCCCCAGCCTTGGTGATGGGCGGAGCAGGTTTCAGCTACCAGCTGAACCCTGAGCCTGAATCTCTTCCGATCGTCGACATTCTCCTGCGCTCATTCGAACTCGGCGTACGCACTATTGACACATCACCATACTATGAGCCCTCAGAGCAACTCATGGGCGCTGCATTGTCAGATCCTAGGATTCAGTCCAGATACCAACGTAGCGACTACGAACTCATGACCAAGGTTGGCCGCATCAAGGAAAATGAGTTCAATTACTCCCCGGACTGGATCCGAAAATCCGTTGCTAGGTCGTTGGAGCGGTTTGGGACTACGTACTTGGATGTGGTCTTTTGCCATGATGTTGAGTACGTATCCCTAGACGAAGCTGTTACGGCTGTTGGTGTACTGCTGGAATTCCAACGAGCTGGAGTTATACTGCGGGTTGGAATCTCGGGCTATGACATTGATGTCCTGGCCGAAGTTGCTAGCCTTGCCCGAAAGAAATACGGACACCCTGTCGACGTTGTTCAAACTTGGGCACAGCTCACTCTTCAGAACACGCAAGCCGAGACACGTGGTTTTGATCGTTTCCGCACCGCTGGTGTAAACTCAGTATTCTGCTCAAGTCCACTGGCCGTTGGACTATTGAGGACAGGCGGTATCCCCCTTGGGCTGACAGGCGATTGGCATCCCGCGCCTCAAGGACTGAGAGCCGCAGTAGCTGAAGCCGCTGAGTGGGTGGACAAGCTTGGAGACGGAGAAACCCTATGTTCCCTCGCGATGCAATATGCCATTGTGAAAGCGAAGCAGAACTGCACTCCCTCGTTCTCAGTCTCAACCATAACAGGAATCAGTACTCTGTCCGACCTGGAGCAGAATGTGGTTGCAGCCAAAAAAGTACTCAAAACTGTTGGAAACTCCGAGAGCTTACTGGACTATACCGAGCTAGACTCCCAGTCAGTGGAGAGCAGATTGTCGCTCGCCGAGCGTGTTCGTCTGATCATTGGGGAGTGGATAGACTACGATTTTTCTGGGAAGAAGCCGAAGACAGTGAATAGCGACTCCAACGGGGATGATATCAAGGAGCCTGATGCAGTAGATATCACAGCACCAAAACATAAGGAATTGAAGCAGCCTGCAGCGATCAGAGTGGCGGTGTAAGGGTGTACATATGCAAGTTTATATCAAATAGCGTCCGCAGAGAAAACAAACTTAGCTTCCCCGAGTGCTTATTACATCCATTCACTATGCAATCCTGCATATTTATTTCCTTTGGTGTCTTGATCATCGAAATAACCATAGATGTATTCCAATTCCATACCCGGCCGCTTCTACACGAGAGTATGAGCATTTGTTCGGTTCAATGGCAGTGTGCTTTGGTTTAATCAAGCAGCCTAAGCGCGCCCCCCTTGTCAATATCTCCAGCGTCGTAGGCATTGATATCAAGACTAAAGTTATCGAGCGATTGTCTGACAGTATCCCGGGCGGAACTATATATCATCTTGGTTCTCGCCGTGGCATCATCTGGAGTCCAAGAGATGAAGGCGATCTTATGTCCATAGCTTTCGCCGAAGTCGTAGACAGCGAAAGCCGGACCCTTCTTGTGCAGATTTTCTTGGAGGTTCTCCCATTAGCCGTCCTTGGAGGTTTCGTCGGTAACAATCTCCTTGCCGACAATCCTGTAGATGATATATGTGTACTTCTTGTCATCTTTGAGCTCTGTGTAGGCTGTCGAGCATTCTGGCGAAACAGTGATCGACGAAGCCATATTTGCAGACTGAAACTAACTGCAGGAAATGAATAAGAGTAAATGGGGAATATGGCTCGGAGGATGAGGGAATAGCGGGAATCTTACGGACCAAAGCAATGCAGGCTTTGCTGCTGGAATTGGATGTGAGTGTTTATACGTCTTCTAGCTCTATCTACCAGCCGCAAATGTCGTCATAATGACGAAAAGCCTCAGAGTGTATTTCAGCTCATTGACTTACTAGCGATTATTCTTTATCCCAAGCAAGATCGCCTTTCCTTCCCTTACTGCTGGGACGATTTTACTGGTGAGAGTACGCTAATCGGCAGGACTAACGTTAGTGACGGCCTGTAGCGTAGCTGAGCCTCGGAGCTGAGTGACGTGGAACGAATCAGAATGGAAAAGTCCGGTGGGGTTAAACTGCATTAGTATCACGCTGAAAAGCCATTGCGGTGCTATTAACTGCAAATCAAAGGGCGTAACACATAGCCTCTACAAGCTCTATAACGCCTTGACCCTCGGTTGGTTGATAACAACCTCTGCTTCCTTGCTTGTCCACCAACTCATCTCGTTGCCTGGATATGCGAACCTTATCAGACTTTCTGGCTTCATCTCCACGCTGTATCCCGGCACCAACGGCGTGACATAATGTCCATCAACAATTTTCGACGGATGACGGAAATGCTCATGCAAATGATCCACGTACTCCAAAACACTCTTGCGGCCACTAATGACAACGAAGTCTATAGTGCTCAAGTGCTGAGTATACTCGGGTAGTCCTACACCACCTGAATGCGGGACAATGGGTACCTTGAACTTGGCAGCGAGGAGGAGAATCGCCAGAACCTCGTTTACGCCACCGACACGGCATGCATCAGGTTGGATAATATCCACGGCGCCTGCTTGGAGGAGCTGTTTGAACATGACGCGGTTCTGGCACATTTCTCCTGTTGCTACTGCGATCGCGCCGTGGGTTGTGATGGATAGACCTTGCCGGATAGCAGCGTGCCCTAGAATGTCGTCTGGAGATGTTGGTTCTTCGATAAACCACGGTTTGAACTCTGCGAGAGCATTCATGTGCGTGATGGCTTCAGTGACAGACCAGACCTGTAATGGAGAATAAGTCAAGCGATCTCAGACCGAGGGGCTGGGTCATACCTGATTCGCATCCACCATGAGCACGTTGCCTTTATCATAGCCCAACACGTCACGGGCAATCCTCAATCTCTGCCGATCTTCTTCAAGATCCGTGCCAACCTTGAGTTTGAAGTACTTGAAGCCCTGTTGCACGCTCTCCTCAAGTAGCTTCTTCATCTTGTCTTCACCATACCCCAACCAGCCGGCACTAGTAGTGTACGCAGGAACTGCACGATTGTCCAAAGCTTCCTGAATCCTCTCGGACTTGCCCTTTTTCGCTGCTCTCAGGATTTCCAAGGCATCATTAGGACTCAGCACGTCAGAAATATAGCGAAAGTCAATGCATTGGATGACTTCTTCTGGCGTCATGTCCGCAACAACGCGCCAGACAGGCTTTCCCAATGTCTTCGCCCACAGGTCCCAGATTGCATTCACTAGGGCACCGAGAGCTAGATGTATGACGCCTTTTTCAGGGCCAACCCAGCGGAGTTGTGAGTCTGAGGTTAGGTAACGCCAGGTTTTACCCCAGTTCTTTGTGAGCTCAGAGAGATTTTTGCCTTGAATTAATGGTGCGAGGAGATCGATTGCACCACAGACGAGTTCATTGCCGCGGCCAATTGTGAAGGTCTATGAATGTTCCATGAGATTCAGTTTAGTACAGATGTAGGAGTGCTTTACGTACCATACCATGGCCTGTGAAGTTGGGGTCATCGGTGACAAGAATACAGAATGCAGCTGAATAGTCTGGCGACAGATTCATGCCATCTGAGCCAGCCTTGTCTAAGGATGTCTTGAGGTCCAAGTTAGTGCATATTGTGTCCGCCATTTCTCTAATTACATACAGGAAACCGCACATCGTGTGAGGTAATAGTCTTGATAATAACCATGGTCTCTTGAATGTTGGCGAGTAATGTTGATCAAGTTTGAGCAGATTTGCATTGCTACATATTCATCTCATTCATTGAGGTAACTATTTGTTCTATAAGTAACATATCTATTGACATCGATCGCGTCTCCATCTCCACTTCAAGTTCCACCTAAGAAGCGTCAGGCAAAATAGAGTCAAAGTGTCCTACAAATAATAACAAGTCATTGCTTTAACTTTTCCCAAACCGGGTAGATAACTCCTCTGTAGCAAGGGATCTAACTTCAAGCTGGACACCAGGCCAGCACCTTTTTCCCGACGCTTCAAATCCTCAAGTGTTGACAATGTAGGGTAGCGTAGGATCCCCCCCCCAGACCAGCCTAGTCTCTTCCCCCTCACTCTGGCAATTTGATGATTGGCCCAGTTCCCTACCGCCGGATAAATCATTCCAAGATCCCGGCGGGAAATTACTAAATACGCAGAGGTCGCACGGATATTTTCCTCATCCCTCAATTATCCTGATTATAGTGGGCTTCCCGCAATACTCGCAAGCAGTGGATAAACATGGATCCTCATCAGAATGAACCGCGTCAACATGCCAAGAGGGATCCACCAAGTGGCCGGAAGAGAACAAGACTTGCTTGCGACAGATGCAGCACTCTGAGAGTCCGCTGTGATGGTCAGCAGCCGTGGTAAGTGTCAGACGAGCAGATCACCAATCACAAGCAAGATACGGAAGAGCTCACGCCAGAATACACTCCAGTCGTCGTTGTCAAGGTAAGCGTTCATTACTTGATCAAGAGAAGGATTTGTTGACGAATCAATGTTTTAGAATACCAATCGACATGTCATTATACTCGAAGTATCGGTAGGCGTGGTCGTAAGCCAAAGTCAGCAAATCGAGTACAGCAGCCACAGCAGGATCGAGAGTTTGACTCATCTGAAGCTGATTGTGATCTCGAGCAAAGCACGCCGCATCCACGGCCGGAGCAGAGTGCAACTTATGACGGCCAGGAAAGTCCCGGTCTCCCCACAAATAACCAGGACACAGTTTCGACGCATTACTCATCCAGCCACTCATCACATCATGATGCTGTGTCGCTGGATATGCAAGCCGATTCAATCACGGCACCAAGTTTCGATCAGCTATATCATGTGGCTGGCATCCAGCCTTCCTATCCTCTCCCTGAGTTCGACCTCGCAGTTCATCATGGCGCTGAATCTGTCCACGAATCGTCTACGCGCGAGCGACCTTCAACTGCCACCCAGAACTTGCCATCCCGTGCATGTCGTTATAAGTGTCTCGAGCCAATAATTCCCTTGGTACACGGAATAATCGATGCCAAGCTTGTCTGCGAATTGTTCGAGCTTTACTTTGTTGAACCCGGGGGATCTTTGTTTAAATGTTCTTCTCCGTATGTTTTAGCCCACGTCATGAGAAAAGAATCGCTTCTTCGAGCCGACAACCCACGAACGTGTACGCCAGCGTTACTGGTTACCATGCTCTGGGTCAGTGCACAGACAGCCGAGAGCTCTTTATTTCTGCTGCCAGGCCAGAAGGCGATTGTTTGTGAAGAGCTGAGGAAGTTAATGATGGGTTTGATTCAGGGCAGAGATCGTGACGTTTGGAACAGAACTACCAGTCAGTATCTTTCCCCTTCTTTGCGAACTCTACCAACTCGAGTTGCTAGGTGGTCCTCTTGTGAGAGATCTGGAGTATGCCACGGCTGGAGATCAAAATCGGTCAGAGTACCATGTTGGATCAGCCTCTGCCGTCTCTCCACCAGTACCCCTGGTCGACGACGTCCTCATGTTCATCCTCGTCACCATCGTCTCTTCTGGCGGGGATTTTAAGACAGACTGCCTCCGATGGTGGAACAAGGCACTACGGCTATCTCATAATATGGGATTGAACAGAGAAGACTCACCTGAGAACAGCTTCACGCAGTCGGAAACATCTCTGTGCACGAGTCAAACAACCTCGTGCGGTTGTAGGTCCTGTGAAGCTTCCCGCACAGGTTTGACCATATCAGAAGTCCGAGAAGAGCGTCGGAGAGCATTTTGGCTGATCTTTTGTCTCGATCGCCACTTGGCTCTATCGTTCAATGCACCACTCCGAATCCTTGATGATGAGTGCCAATTATATGCGCCACTTTCGGATGAAGCTTGGGCAGCCTTGTCAACAGGACGAGACCCCGAAGACGCAACATTGGGCAGTAGCTCACATTCAACGATGTTTGGCGCTCCAACTCGTATTTCAGGTATTGGCTTCTTTGAATACTTTCTCCCACTCATGACGATTCTTGGGGATGTTATTCAACTGCACAGACAGAAGTCCCATCCAAGATTTGGCAATATTCGAAGACCTCAGGTTAATGGGCAGGAGGAAGAAGATGACCCGGCTACGGCAATGATAGAACAAGTCATGGTGCAGTGTGCACAGAGCATAACCGACCTGGCTAGCGCATACCAGGTCGATGCGCTTGATGCCTCAGCTATACCAGCCAGTCAAGTGCGCACGCCTCAATGCGCGATATCACCGCAACAGAGCCACGGAGACCATTCCAGAACGTCGAATTCCGCCAGCCACGCCTCATCGCATCGTCGACATGCGCAAGCTCAGCTTGTCACTGCATACAGTACATTCATATTGCATGTTCTTCATGTCCTTCTACATGGGAAGTGGGACGCCGTTTCGATGTTGGATAATAAAGATGGCTGGATACCATCCGTCGGCTTTATGAAGTGTGCATCTCATGCAATAGCTGCGTCCGACGCTATGTCACGAATTCTAGCATGCGACCCAGAGCTTTCTTTCATGCCATACCTGTTCGGTATCTATCTTTTGCACGGCAGTTTTATCTTGTTGCTTTTTGCAGATCGAATGCCTCAACTTGGATTGAATGAGTCTGTCGAAAAGGCCTGTGAAATTATCATACGGGCACATGAGGTTTGCGTTGTCACCTTGAGCACAGAGTTTCAGGTATGTTCCCCATGATGCCATCTACCAAAGTGGCCTGTCCAATGCTAATTTCTATGCGTAGAAGCGCTTCCGCAAAGTGCTTAGATCGACGCTCTACAGTGTGAGGAGTCCAGCGACATCTAACTTGGAGGAGAGTAAAGCTCGCCGCCGGGCATTGTCTTTGTATAGATGGAACGAAGGAGCAACTGGCCTGGCACTGTAGTTATTATCTATTGTCTAATCCAAGATATCGTCAATCGAGAAATTGGAAAACAGGCGTTTTGCTACATGTCTGAATGCAAAGTAATTGCAATTGGGACGTTCACGCTATGGTCTGGCATTTATGCTACTATGAAGTCTTGATCACACAAGGCTCGAAGATGGTAAGAGCCATAGTTCAATCGTTGAATACCAGCAGATGAGGTTTGAAGTCTAGTTTTAACTGTTAACATAGAAAGTGCAACAGAACCAAAAAAAATCACTGGAGTGCACGCGAACAGAGCCTAGAAGTTGTAGCCACTTGATTTTATTGTTAGACCCTAAGGTCGATCCAAGTGGTATAATAAATACCAGTAGATTGTCTCAGAAATACGTAGAATAGAATAAGGTCACTGCACCATGGACAAAAAGCCCACCAAAAAGCACTGAGATCCATCAGGCCTTGACCTCCCCAACCACTGTCTCATGGCGTTGCTCATCTTGGCTGCCCTTCTCTCCCCACTCGGCGATACTAGATGGCTCGTTCTCAGTGTTCTCAAAAGCATCAATACCCTTCTTGTAGCCAGGGAGAACATTGACGCAGAACGGAAAGCTCCAAGCTGCCACAAAGAATGCCAAAGGAACAACCATGGCCATTCCTGTGCCATGTCTGTCTGCTGCCACGCCAGTAAGAGGGGGAACACAAGCACCACCAATGACTCCACCGATGATAAAGCCGCTACCGCGCTTCGTGTGTCGGCCGAGACCTCTCATGCCAAGAGCGACAATTGTTGGGAAACAGATGGATTCAAAGAACAATACCACGTAAAGCATGGCAATTCCTGTATCGCCTCTCTCTGTAATTGCAGGGCAGATGAAAATCGCACACATGCTCAAGAAGACGAGGAAGATGTGGCGAGGCTTGAAATACTTCATGAGGAACACGCCGAAGAAGCGACCGACAGCAAATGCAGCCTGTGCACCCGCAAAGAGTTTGGAGCCAGTGGAATCGCTGGTGTTCTTTCTTGTTTCGGTTGCATAGTTGATGAACATGCTTGCAATAGCCACTTGAGCTCCGCAGTAGCAGAACTGTGCGAAGGAGGCGTGGAATAGTCGGTATTGCTTGCGTAGTGGCTTGTCGTGAGTATCTGAGTTGGAGGACTCGGCTTGATGAGCCATATCTGAATTCGAGAAACTGGTGTCAGAATTCAAGATCACGAAGTTCCCCAGAGGCATTGAAACGTACCAGCATCAGTAATCTCAGGGATGTTTGAGAAGAGGAACAAGGTGGCGAGCAGCAAGACGAACACGGCGATGGAAAGATACACCCACTGCACGTTTGCCAATGCTTTTTCATCGTCAAAGTTGAAGAAGACATAAGAGCCCAAAACGGGTGCAACGACCGAGCCAATACCGTTGAAGGCTTGGGACAGATTGATTCGCATTTCGGCATATTTGGGAGGGCCGCAAACTACTTCGGGTTAGGTATTAAGGCGGCGGGAGAGTCACTGCAAAGGCTTACCAGTGATAAAAGGGTTGGCAGCTGTCTCAAGAGACCCAAGACCATTGCCGATGATGAAAATGGCGGCACAAAAACCTCCAAAGGACTTTGCTTTGATACAGGGAATTGCAATCAGGGCGCCGATAGCATAGAGACTGAGTCCCCAGATAAAAACGGCCTTGTAGGAGTAGTGCCGTAGGATCCACGCGGCATGGCCGAGAGAAGCAAGCGGGTAGGCACTATCGGAGCACAACGGTTAGATATAACAAGGCAGAGGTCAGTGAATGAGACGAACCCAAAGTAGGCAGCTTGCAGTCCAGCAGACCTTGCTCGATCAATATTCAAAGTCACCTGGAAATGCTTATTCAGGGTGTCCAAGAGGCCATAGCTGAAGCCCCAGAGGAAGAACAAGACTGTGACAAGTGCAATGGGCCAGATGGACTCGCGTAAGCTAAGGTCTGCGGCTTTGGTCACCCTGTCGTCGGAGACTTTGAGTGACCTCTTCTTGAAAAATGTTCGAACACCCATTTTGACAATTGGGATTCTGGTTCAAGTTGGAAAGTGTCTTGGAACGGCAATAAGATACAGGGCCAGAGAGCTGACTGTGTTGATGGAGAAGAGCTGCAGTATGGAGGAGCTTGAATTATTTATATCCACTTCGCATGTAGATCTTGAACTAAGCTACCCCATGGGGAACAGAGACGAACAGAGAAGCTTGGGCGGGGAACTGTATCTGGGGTAAGACTCCCAAGACTGGTAGTCAACCCGTCCAATTGGGTTATTTCGTTCATGGTTCTAAGCGGGGGAGCAACAACCTACCCGACGGATAATTGCACCTCGTACTTCCCCTCCCCCGCTCATAACAAAGATCACGCACTAGCTTTGCAGCCCTGTCACTCAATGACTACGTATTGAGGAACTCCCTTCTTTGTTTTCACAAGGAATATCGAATCGCATGTCTCGAATGGAAAACGGGGAAAGTTGGGTGTAGCTGTTTTGACTATCGTTCTATCACAATATTGATCATTGTGCCACATCCACAGTGGGGCAGCCAAGCAATGCGACGACACCATTTTCCGTAATGGCCTGCCAGCACCATCAGTAAAGACATACTGATTCAGATACTCTACAAAAGCGCTGGGATAAGCATTCGCAAGTTTCTCATGGTCAGCGAAGGAACAACGTATTTGCCGATTAAGGCAAGATTGCCCCATGCTTCGCGGGTGTCGACGTCATTCTCAGAAGGAATAAAGCACTTGACCTGAGCGGAAATTGCGGCGTCAATGGACAGCTTCTTTGCTGCAAAAGCCTCGTCACTAACGGTAGAGACAACGGCATCTTGCCCCTTCACCGCCTCGACAAGAGTCCTCTTGGAGGACAGATCTACCCTCTCTACGACAACATCTTCTGGAAACGTCATTTTTGGCTCCTGCTTGGTCACAGTTATAGTTAAGAGTATTCCCAGAAGCCAAGACAGGGTCTGTTACTCTACCTAAGCAAGCGATCTCACTATCGCATATTATACGGGACGTAGCAAGCGTAGTTATTTAAGTAAATAGACTCTATGCCTGTTGGATTTAGACTAATGCTAAAGTATATAGATGCTGTGAAGCTAAATGTTGAATTTAGCTTCTTTGTATAGAAGTCTTGACACTCTCAACTTATTTCCCAGTACTATATGCAATCTTGATTGTCCAGATGTACTTGTCTCCCTGGACGACCTTGTCGGGCATTTGTACCAACAACGATCCATCCTTTCTGGTGGCCTGAAGAACTGTGCCATGAGCACTCCCACCCACAGCAGTCACTTCATCGCCCTCGACCCAAGGCACAGGCTCTTTGACGACCAGTTGGGAAGATGGTTTACCAACATGGTGGATGTAAAATGCATCTGGCTTCATCGCAAAACGGAGTGACCCAGACGTTTGAGCAGTTGGCCAGTATCTGGTGCCAAAGATTCCCTCACCGTGGGCCTTAATCCATTCTCCAGCGTCTAAAAGATTGAGTTGTTGCTGCTTCGGAATGGTTCCATCACCCTTGGGGCCCATATTGAGCAGAAAATTCCCGTTGTTGACGACATTGTCCACCAAAGTTTTGACGATTTCCTCACCTGAGAGGTATTCATCATCTGTTGTCAAGTAGTTGTATCCGAACGAGAAAGGATCGAGGCCACGATTGCTCTCGAATTTCCTTGGGTTGAAGGAGATGCCAGAGTACCTTTCGAAAACGTCAGCTTGATTCATGACACTCAATGGATCAGTGATGAACTTACTCCGGGGTGCTGTAATCTCCAGCAGCTCCGCAGCGATCGTTGAAAGTGACTTGCCTGCCCTGGTCACGAGCCCAGTTGAGCCAGGGCGCAAGGACATCTGGGGCCTTGTTCGGACCCCCGATGTCGCACCATAGCATCTCGATGTCATAATCGTAGAACAGGGCCTCTATCTGTGGGCTTTGAATGTCGTTGATAAAGTCATCGACTTCGACGTAGCCAGTGTATTCGATGCTCTTGTTGGTATAAGGATTGGTAGGCGGACGACCCCAGTAAATCTCTTTGTAGTGTTGGTCCCAGGCATATTTAACATAAGCTGGATTGAACCACTCCGGCATACTGAAGTACGTGCCTAAGATGTATCAGCAAGCAAATATTGTCAATAGGAGCGCATATACTATACGTACCCCGGCGGATCTTTGGGTGTTTGGCTTTGGCAACGTCGAGAAGCTCTTTGACGAAGTCTCGCTTCGGGCCGTAGTGAACAGTTGAGCGCTTACTGACAGACTCGGGGAAGTCGAACAGCGCCCACCCATCATGATGTTCTTAACAGCGACCGTTATTATTATGCATGTTCGTCTCCATGCGATGACTTACTTGTAACAGGTACGACATACTGCGCTCCCGCATTAGCAACCAAGTTCATCCAACCCTCGGCATCAAAGTTGGCGCCGGTGAAATTAGACACGAAGTTGTCGTAGTTGAAGTTTTCGCCGTATGTATCACGATGGTATTGGTAGGTTTCGGACGGAAAGTCTGGTTGAGTCATGCGATAACCGTACCTAATCATAGTGAATCAGCGGAAATCGGTGATATGTCATAAGATCTTACATACCACTCAGCATAATCTTGCTTCGGCCCCGGTCGATTTCCAAAGGCCGGGATGGAATAAAGCCCCCAGTGGATAAAAATACCGTATTTGATCTCGTGGAACCAATCTGGGTTCCAGTGATGCTCGAGGCTGCTCTCCGAAGCCTCGTAATCACCAATACCGCATTGGCCAGAAAAGTCCTTGCTCGACTTCTTCGGGTCCTGTTTAGGGCCCCAGGTCACAACAGCCGTTGCATCACATTGTGTTCCGGCTTTTACTCCCGCCTTGTTTTTAACACCGACCTGGACAACAGCGCTTTGCTTTGGTCCCAAGCGAAGCAGGGTGCCGGGAGTGGTAGTCTCTAAGGAAGAGGACTCAACGATGACGCGCAGCTGATCTGCCCAGGTCAAAGTGTTATTTCCATCTGAATTGGTAATGAAAAACTCAACTATTTGCTCATAGTCACTGCCTTCAAGCCACTTGGAGGTAAGAACAGGACTTCCAATTTCGAGAGAAGCTGGGCTTGTGGCTGAGACTTCGTTAGCCAGCCCATACTCTAAAATAATCTCGGTCCACGAAGTTTGTACCTCTTTTATCTTGATTTAAAGAAAGCGCTCTTACAGACGCCGTTCCTAGACAAAGGGCCGTGCCGAGGTGGGAAAGAAGGCTTATATGCATCGTTCGGTCGACGACAAAAACAAGTATGAAGAAGTTTGTACCAATTGGCAACTGAGGATAGTTACATGATATAATTAGAAGGGCCAGAGCTATTTATAGGCAACTTAAAAAAATCTAGATGACTTCTATGTCAGCCGAGGAGGCTTGATAGGTCAAGTAGACCCACGCCATGACGTTCAGTTGATCAATAGTAAGATATAAGATCTTCATTCAAGCCTTGTCCAATCGGTTTTTTAGAAAGAGACCAAGTAGCATTTACAAAAGCTACTAAACTTCCTTAGTTGATACGGTATTAGTCCCTTGATGTACGTTAACGTAATGTGTAAATTACTAGTTGTGTTACCCCTGTCTTGAGACAGTTCTTCCCCGCATTTTAAATGAAACTTTGATTTGTGCGGTTGAAATGCATTAAGGAGATCTACGTAGATCTTTCTCCTCCTGTCAAAACCTCAACTATTACTATTCTGATCATGTGGTGTGAGCTTTCTACCGCACGTATCAAGAAACAGCCGGGATTTAGACCTTTTCCTCTCCTAATATTAAATAAGCGAATAATCTTATTTACAACTGCTCGGGTAATTTCGAGAGGAAAAAGAAAAAGAGAAAATAAGACAATCTGCAAAATACGCGATTAGTTAGAAGAGTTTTACTTAAATCTTATATATGAATTTTTTATAATACATCTTGTAGATAGCTTCCTACGCCAAGATATCAAGTTTAATTACATACTTAATATTAGCTAATAGCAGAGTATCTTAACTTTATACACATCCTTACTATAGGATTATTTTTTAATATTTAAATAAGTTAGCAATAATAGACGTGGAAACGTAACCATACAAAACATGTTATTAGTTCCTTAAATATTACCGCGTGCCACGCCCACGCCATTTCTGTAGAACACGATCTCTACACATATCGGATCAATCACGACACTCTCTTCAAAATGAACAAGCTGTCTCTAAGCGCCGCTCTTTGGCTCCGACAGACCCAAGCATTGACAAAGAAGATTCTTCTCATCATGGTCATTCGCCACTGGTTATCAACATTAATTCGCTGCCTCGTCATACCAATCCTCGTCCTCTCGCTTGTACTAGGAGTCCAGAACTTCACCCCCTCGAGCAAGTACGGCATTGGCAAGCCCGCGTCTGCTCCAATCCTTTCCGAAGCCACTCCCGATGGCGCGAAACTCTTCATCATCCAACCCTCTGGTGCGGGAAGTGACGTCTCGGCTGTGATCGAAGACGTGGTCAAACCGCTTGGGAAAGCCAAGGTAGAAAATACTCAAGGAAGAGCAGGAATTGATGAAGTGCCCCACGGATATTAACGGAAGAACAGACTGCTATGCCGCCGTCATCTTCAACGACTCCCCTCTGGGTGATGGCGGAAACAAACAGTGGAACTACACGATGCGGTGCGGTTCCTCAAACCTCGGATCCGGCTTCGACGTCTTCCAATCGGCCAAGGCAGCGACGAACCCCCATATCCCATTGCAACTCGCAATCGATCAAGCCATTACCAATTCGTCAACAGTCCCCGACATGTACATGTTCACTCGAACTACCCAGGAACAGGCCAAGTCAGTGCACCGCCGCAAGTTCATCGATATGCTCTTGGGAGGGCTAAATCTCGTATGCTTCGCAAGCATGCTGTCACTTGGTTACCACGTTATTGGGACCATAGCAGCAGAGCGCAAGTCGGGAATGACGCAGCTGATTGATGTTATGGGCGGAGGTGCATTTTCTGCTCAACTGCTGAGCTATATTATTGCCTTTGACATTATATACCTACCGTCCTGGATTATACTGGGAGGAAGTAAGGACGGCGCTTTCATCTGATATCTTGCTTATGCTGACTCTCGCACTCTGCTCTAGTCTGCTCCTGCCGACTTCTAGTGCCGGCATAACCATCCTCTGGCAAATTCTCACCGGATGGGCTCTGACTAGCGGCTGCGTCTTTGGCGCGACATTTGCCATCAGATATTCTACCATCCTCGCTGTTCTCACCCTGATTGGTATGGCTGCCTTCGCACAGCTTCTCAACAGCCAAACAGAACCGATCACCAAAAGCGTCGCCGTGGCATTCTCCGTCATGTTCCCAAGATGCAGCTACGTTTTTGTTCTGAACTCCATTGCGCGATACGAAAAGGCAGGAAAGGCGACCAACATTTACGCCATACCCCCATCCCCTGGCTTCGAGGTACAGAAAGCTACCATCGGGGCGCTCTGGTTGTGCTTTTGCTTCAGCATCGTTGCTTTCCCCTTGGTCACCATCGCGATCAAAAGATTCGTCCATGGAGCCAGCCGCGGCGGGCGCCAATTCAAGACGGGCCCTAAGGCAGACAACACTTGATTGGCCCTCCAAGTCATCGGAGTTACAAAGACATACAAAGCCAGTATATGGAAACGGATGTGCTGCTTCGGCAATCGTCGTCCTGCCATTGCCGTTAGTTCGATGACCTTCTCAAGCAATAAGAAGCAGGTGCTCTGCCTCCTAGGTAGCAATGGCTCTGGCAAGACTACGACAATGGACCTCATCACTGGAAAGCAGAACCTGACGGGCGGTTCAATCCAGATCAATGCTCCGGCGTCCAAGATTGGTAGACCACTTCTCCCATTCGAGCTCCGTATAGCAACTTTGGGCCTCAATGCCGTCGATGTCGTAGGGAGGGTATTTACACCCTGGCGAATTTCAAACCTTGCCACCCGAAACAACTTATTCCTCTAAGCTTCGAGCGTTATGGATAATGGGTCTTTCGAGTTAAAAAAGTACATAATGGAAGAAACCGGATACAATGAGCAGTGGGCTGGCTTCAGCATCCTGCGATCCAAAGAGTGACTTTTGGATTGCGCCGTGAAGACTGCGGCTACCGAGGGGAGAGCGCCAACGCTCGAGAATGAGTCTTCATAGTACCTATCTATGATTAAGGCTCTATATATTCATTATAAGGTTTAGACTGTATATAGATAAAATATCACTTATCTATAACTCTTAGACCCAACATAACTATTGAAAGCAATGTGCTCCATACTGAACCTTTGATAGCAAGCTTCTCTGGAGTATATCAACAGTTACTTTCCCTAAGGCTGCGCTAGGCTCACCGTCCATTCTGAATACCTCGTAAGCCGTCGCAAGCGGAAACATGATTGACAGTGGTCCAAACAGCGCCATGCGATCCTGAAGCAAGAAATCTGTCCCTTGGACAATTCTGACACTCAGCTCCCTTAAATTGTTCTGGAAATGATCTTTTAGTTCGCAGTCTGATTGGACTGGCCAGTCGCAAGATACATGGGGGAACCTGGTCCGCAGTTTTCGGATCTCAGTCAAGCAAACTGCTTTGAACGCCCATAGATGCATGACCACATTGGCAACAGATACACTGGGAAACCATATATTACAACCTGCCAAGGCTGACAAACTTTCTGATGGAATTCTCCAGCAAAACAAGCCTGTAGATGGCTCTGCACCCAAAGGGTCGCCCCAACCTTGAAGATGATTATGGGTATTTATCAGTAAGGAAATTGCCTCTGTAGCAATCAATGTAGCTGCACGGGGAGGGCTATGCTCAAGGGTGTCGATAAGTTCGAGAATCGTGGGTATACTAGAGACCTCACTAAACAGCCTTTGCATGAAGGACGGGGGCTGGATCCCAAATGGGTCTGTTTTCCAGTCTTCACTGGAAAGAAAAGAAGCCTTGCGAGATGAAAAAGCTTTCAGAATCTAGCTGATGAGTCAATCCCAATGAATTACAAAGAAAGGGGCGAAGGACTTGCCAATAGGGGTCTAAACCCAGTGAAAAGCTTATGACGGATTCCAAGACTGAATGATCTGGCAGGCCAGAGTCTCATCCACTCACCAACGCCATCCACATGGCGCCACCAACCGTTTCTTGAAGTCGGTAATATCGTCTACACAAGAGACGTCTCATTAATCTAATATCCTTTATAAGGGATGACAACACCCACCTCTGTCAACGTGAGGCACATGATGGCCACGGCGGCTTCGTCTCGTGACGATATGTCTATATGCGGCTTTTCTAGTTCTTCCTTCAACGAACGGATAGCTGAACCATATTTATCCAGCAGTTCAGCACGTGTTGAGTGCGAACTTCGTCGCAAATCAGATATAGATGCTGCAAGGCAGCTGATTGCTGATAAGAGAGCCTGTCCCTGCCCACCATTACTTACGATAGGAAGGACTTCAACCCAATTACCACAAATGCGAGATTCGGTTGGTTTATCTTGATAAATGGCAAATAAGTCACCTTCTGGCATGAAATTTTTCATGATAAGCAGAACCATGCCTTGGATGGGATTATTTGGTAGGCTAGGGATCGTGTCGATCACAAGAGGCGATTTCGGTTGTGGCCGTTGGTTGACGCTTATACGACTGGAGGTAAGTGCTTTTTTTCCAGGCTGCTTAGCAGAAGCATTTGAGCTCTCAGCCGTAGTTTCGAGAATGAATGAGAAATCCGAAGGGTAACAGCATTCGCGCCCAGTATGAGTGCATTGCGAGCAAGCTGGTTTCCGTCCGTCGCACTATGAGTCGGTCAGCTGACGGCAACAGGTCATGACTTCGGAAAGGAAGATACCCCTAATTTGCGCGACCTACAGGTCTGACATACTTTCCTGTTTCGTACCTTCATCGTAATGGAAGGCGCCAGATGGATGCTTGATGGAATGAGAATGTAATGCTCAGAAAACATGCAGAGATGAGGTGGGGTTGCTTATGAAATCATAATTTATAAGCTTAGGCTTGGCGGAATTTGACTCCTATAGAAGTTAGTCCATTAGGCCTAAAGTTTAAGCTCGAGACTACCCTTAGGTTAACTAATTATAGCACAAATGTTAATAAGTAATTTTGCAGCCGTAATATTACATTCTATCCGGCGAGCCTATTAAAGGGTTTCGATCCACAGAGGTGCATCTTGGCGATTGAATATACTATCATAATGTATTAAATGTCCTTTATTACTTTCTCGTTCTTTCTTTGTGCAGTGGTTAAAAGAATAGCTTTCCTGACTTGAGCGGACTTATGGTGGAAGCATATTCGGAACCGTGAGTGCCACTCAACTTATGAGTTATCTAGCCCGCTGAGCCAACTAATCCGCAAGGATTGCATGAACAGTGGGGTCTATTTTTACAGTAACTGAAGAACATCAGAACCAAAGTCTACAGTTGAATCCAATGATTATTTTAATTCATCATAGTTCCACAGGAAAAAAGACGTTCTATTATAGTGCCAATGTTGAATTCTATCGACCTATAAGCTTTTATATTCATCCCATCTGTCTATTGCAGGTTACCCCAAATTTCGTTCGTTGGTTGCCGAACCACGCGGGGATAACTCCTAGGATGTCGCTGTCTCGCATCCTTCTAAATAAACGGCTATTTTTTATTCTTTTCTTAATTAGTTATTCCGGTTGAATAGTTGGCGTTAGTTATGCATTAAAAAACTAGAATGTAGTGTGTTTGAACTAAAAGTAGAATAACCCCAGATGAACCCGAGTTCGCGTCAGTTTCGCGAATACCCGACGCCAAAGGATACTTTGTCCGATGGGGCACATCCGTATACTGGAATTGGGTCGCTTGAACTCATAGAATCGATCATCCTAAATCAATACGATAATTAAATAATAGACAAGATATGATTCAGTGGCTATGGCCCAAGATATAGGCCAGTAAAGCCTCATCTCCTAACAGAGTCAAGCAATCGTCTTCTCTCGAGCAATCTCACGCATAAGCTCTTTGACTTCCTCGTCACTCATGGTCTTGACGCCCAACAGTTCGTTATCCGTCTTCTCGAGCCTATCAATGTAACCTGGGGTAGAGACCGAGAAACGGATGATGTCACCAATGACCTGCATATCCACCTGACCAGCTTGCAGCTTAGCCATTGCCATGTTGAATACGTCCTCAGTATCAACATCCTTTGACTTCCAGCCTTCCTCGCCCAATGCCTGCTTGGAAAGTTCGGCTAGATCCTTCTGCGTCTTCTGTGTACTGCAAATGTAGCAAATACGATTCTTCGTGTTCTCGGCCTTGATGAGAGCATTTGCAACAGCGGTTCCCACTGATTCAAGTGTCGTCATAGGGATAATGGTGGTACCCGGCTTGAGATACTCAATGTTCTTGTTCTGAAGGTCGACGCCGAGAAATGACATACGTAGACCCCAGTCCAGAAAAGCGTGGTTGGAAATGGCCGTCCAGGTGATTTTGCCAGTGTCTGCAAGTTTTTGGACATACTCCAGGGCCTTAGCCTTACCTTGAAAAGGCGGTAGGTTTCGCCCTTTAGAATTCGTTGGGTCGGAGCTGAATTCGGACGGGACAATCCGGTAGACGCCAGCTGAAACGGCCGCATTTGTCAAGCGGATAGCCAGGCTAGGATCAGGCACAGACGTAGCGTCAACTAGTGCGTCCTGGCCCTTCAGGGCGGACACCAAGTCTGAAGTTGACTCGTAATCAACTACCTTGAGTGCAGTTCCGGAGGGTACATTGTCGGTGACCTTTCGAGTGAGAATGGTCACGTTAAAACGACCAGCTTTGACCAAAGCTTGCAAAATATGTGAGCCCAGACTACCAGACGCCTGTGGCCAATTAGCTACTTATGAAAGGTAGACTAAAACAGGCCACTACTTACTCCGGCAAGAGCGACGTTCTTGATTTCGTGAGACATTGGTAATAATTGGTTGAAAGGAGTTCGTGATCTTGAAGCGATACTGTCGTGAATGGTATTAGAATTCTACAAAATTTTGAATGACATGTTCTATCTTTTAAAGAAATATCTGACATCTTGACTACCGTATCAGGTTTCAGCTTAAAAGTTATGAAGACAAATCAGGTCTCCGAAGCATGACTCAGCCTAGGTAAAAAGCCTATTTTGTGGGACAAAATTACGCCAAATACACTTTGTTTGTTTTCTACTCGGTATCTGTATTGTTAAGACATTGGTCAAAGGTGGGATACCGAGACTGCATCATGACGGTGTATAGAAATGATCCGTGTGACGGCTTGTGACAAGGTAATTGATAGGGGTGCCACATCAGTTTGATACACGTGCCGCAACCTTATATGTCCCGCACTTCCAGCCCTTTTCATTAGTTCTAAATCCCGTCGAGCTAGTGACTTGAGGAAATTCAATTCTACCCTCTGTAATGCGGGGTAAAATAAATTAATTCTACTACAATTGACTTTGATTTTGGTATGTAGGACAAATCACGGCTGCAAAACTACTTATTGACGTTTATGTTATAATTGGTTGGCCTAAGGGTAGTCTTAAGCTTAGAACTTTAGGCCTAATGGACTAACTTCTATAGGAGTCTAACTTCGCCAAGCCTAAGCTTATCCCTTTGAGCCGTCACTCGCCCCACTCTGCTTAGTCACAAGGTTAGCACGTGCAGGGTACCAGAGTTCGTGAGATATTCGATTTTTGTAAAATACGACCAAAAGCTCATGCCTATTGATATCTATTGAAACGATGAATTCCCTACCGATTCTTGATGAAATAAAAGTAAGCCAATATGACTTCGATGATCATAGATTTCACACACATGCACAGCAAAGGGGCCTAGGTCCCGCCGGAATAATCCCAGACTCGCAAAGATCCGCAGATATCACTCCGCGAGTCCTGATCATTCCAGGGGATCAAATATTGACGTTAGTTTCGTAAGGGGCATTGCTTAGTGATGGCTTGGCGGATTAAAGCGCCGAAGCTAGGTTAGCGCCGGCAAGTAAATTTGGGGGGAGAGGAAAAGTATGGGACATCGGATGTAAACCTGACATAATTAATTCATGTTCACTGATTACGCTACGAGAGTGAGCATGCTTCTTCAAAAGTCTATGCAACTGATTTTCCAAGCTGTATCCTCTATTAATATTGGCAGATGTTATATACACAGACAGAAAAAGTTTAGCGCAAGTAGACGAGGCTCTCTAGTGTAATGCTCCCTGTTGACAGACTAAGTTAACAGTATGGCTGACAGTGACCTATGCGCACTCAATCCCTCCTCGGGGGCCGAATGTCCAGGCTAACAGGAAAACCTTCTCTTACGTAACCCGCTAGCATCACGGTCACTAACTGTGAAGCGGCAAGGCCGGGACGCTCAGGGGCACAAGCTGGATCAGCATGAGAATATTGCTCAGAAACACATGGTAACCACATATCTGGTGATTCCACTTCGATCAGCTGGCTTCTGTATGATATAGATTGAGATTCCTTTTGTAAAAACTATATGAGCTTCAGATTTATAATCTCGATATGTAAGTTAACTTTCAAGCTCAAGTAAAAGTCAAATTACTCCTTTAAACATAAAACTCAATAATAGAAAAACTCATGGGTGCTAAGCTGTTTTCCGTTTTCGTCGTATCTCTTAGGGATCATGGGTGTCACGCCATCCACGCATCGAGGCTCATAGTCTAGGTTCCGGGCAGCATATGTCAGTATGTCTTCTCCGAATTTCTCCTTGAGCCAATGCGCTAGCATATCCATTCCCGCAACAGCACCAGCTCCAGTCCAAATATTTCCATCGACGACCCATTTGCTTTCCCTGGTTCAGTTGACAGCAGGATAAGTCTCCTTTGCCCATTTATACTCAGCGTGGTTGATAGTTGCGTTTTTTCCATCTAGAAGACCCGTAGAGGCAAGTACTGCTGAGCCAGTACAAGTCGTAAAGAGCAACTTTCCGGCATTAATGTGTCGACGGATGATGTCGAGGTATTTCGGGTGCAGCACAAAGCCCACGGGATTAGGACCTCCCAACAAGATGATATCCAGCTCGGGGCACTCATCCACCGTCGTAGTTGGGGTAAGGGTAATCGCGCTGGTAAAAAGATGGATTGGGTCTTTCGTGATGCCAACGTGATGAAAAATGAAATTTGGAGCATGAGAAATAGCATCATTATCGATGGGGCCAAAGACTTTAGACACTTCCAGGAATCCAGCATTGGCCGAGTGAAGTAGGTCAACTGGGCCGACAACATCAATGGCCTGGTAGTCGTAGACTAAAATACCGACGTGGATAAAAGCCATTGTGATAGTATAAAAGCACACAGGATGGTGGTTTAAAGAAGCCAAAAAGGACAGAACGTCTTGAGGTGCATGGGAAGAAGATGGTTGCTTGTCTTCTGCAAATCTAAAGCTTTTGTTGCATCCTTAAGTATTCCTACTGATCGGAAGCACCGGTAACCTTCGGTCGTGTTTAATAGGTGTACAAGGCAATTCCGAGGAATGTCTTGTCCCGGGACGAACTGTTATCTGAATAGCTCCAGAACTTACCCTACTAAGCCAGCTAGAAAACGAAAATAGACTGTGTGAGCTTCCGCATGGTCCTGGTACCTTTCTCCTGAACTTCCATCAAAGGGGCGAGTCAAATTATACAACCGAATCTGACACGCTAAAGCTTAAGTGTGGCCGAGATAAGAAGGTTAAAAACATGTGCGATAAGACGAATAGGTGCTATTCCAAGCTGTTGTTAATTTGCTTTTGCTTTTTGTCGTTTTCTACCCTTCTCAGAAATAAGAATAACTTATGCGAACAACTCATGCGGATTCCATGCTGCCAGAACCGGAGAGCCAGGAAGGAAGCAGTTATGCAGCGCCAGGGGCTGACACAGGTAACTTCTAAGTGGTGGGAAATGTAGTGGATATAGCAAGCCTCTTGGAGCTATCTTAGCCCTCGGATTTGAGCGTGGAGAACGCAGGCATACATAGAAGAAGTCCATCTACATTGTGAGTTGAACTCGGCTGCCCCCCAACTTTGTATGATTTGGAGAAGTTTCAATTTCCTGTGGTGCTACCCACTTACCTCTTCTGGTCTTAAAACCCGCCAAGACATTAAAATTGACTGTGGACCGCATAACGACCCAGGTTGACAGTCATGCTAACACTGACTCAAAGCGCTCCTTCGTTGCGTTTTGCTTAAGCTTACTAAATAATAAACACATTACGCGTACCAGAATATTTTTTAAACTTTTTTGTATTCATGTACTTGGTCAGCCCAAAGTAGCCATCGGTAGTAGATTAGGGGACGCGAGTAAATATTTCTAATTGAGTTGGAGTCTAAGAGGGAATCTAGTGGCTTTTGTTTGGTATTAGCAGCAGTGTTGCACACAGGCCCTATGGGTTTACCAATGATAGCGATAACCGCTAATATTGGTCGGGCCCTGAATACTTATGCATTAATCGTCTATTTGAAACTGTATATTTGGAATGGACTACACTATTCGATACCATCTTGATGTTTTATGGAGGAGCGACTGCCGGTTATGCGTTATTTATTTGGGTTTTATTAACCTAGAAGACTGTGGACTTAGTTACAATTGGCCCTTTTAACTTGACAGCGTCTCTATCAAAGTAGAGCAAGTGCTAATTTACAGTGTGACACAACTTAAGGTACATAAATAGATCAAAACGACGGATCCTGTAGGTCACAGCACGAAGGTGTACTTTGCAGCCATGTTCTGTAAGTCGAAATCGTATAGTAAATTCGACTCCGTGTTAAGACTCGATTCATTGTACTCTGCCAATATTCACGGGCAATACCCCTGAATTGCGCCAGAACCTCCCAATAGTCGTGTAATTTAGCCACCATGTCTGACCCTCTCAATAGGCTCCGCCTCAGTGCGCGTTGATCAAATCTCATGGTAACGACCGGGAGAAGTAGCGATGTTTCGTCCCCCCAGTTTTACGAGACAAGTTAAACTCTGAAACTAAGAATACGAGCAGTAATCTAATTAAGCAATAGCACAGCCTCATCGCAGCATCATTCGAGTTTTCGCATGGACCTCAAGATAATACGTGGTAGCTAATACATGAATTCTAGCAATTCTCCTCTGAGACTTCTAGGTTGTATGTTCTTAGCGTCGTTGCTTTGGAATCTTTCCCTAATCAATCATTTGTGCTGCTCTTCCACCTTTCGTAATTTCTCCAATCATGCTTCTTTCCTTCCAAAGCCTCGTCCTTTTGACTGTTTTTGCACAGGCTTCGCTAGCCTGCCCATCCCCTACTAACAGCAAATCCACTGCGCAATGTTCCCAACCTCGCATCAGAAAAGAGTGGTAAGTATGCAACGGTTCTGTGAAAGACTCAAAGTATGCTTACGACCTTCTAGGCGCATGTTGAGCTCTTCTGAGCAGACAGATTACATCGACGCTATACAATGCCTCAAGACTGCTCCATCGAAGGGTACAAGCATCTTTGATACCCTTGAGAGTCGCTACGATGATTTTGTGGCATTGCACATCAACACCACTCGAGGTCTGTCCTAAAAACATCCACCTTATCTGATGTTTAGCTGACGAACTACTGCAGGTGGCCAGAAAGCGCCGTCGCTTATCAACCAGCCTTCAAGTAAGTATTCCGCCCTCCCCTAGAAGAGTCTCCTCTTGTCCTCCAAACTAAACCCTAAAACCCCTAGACAACGGAAATCAATCTCATGTTACGGTCTACGGTGTCCATGACGTTGGGGTCTTTCTTCCATGGCACTGCTATGCCATCTGGACTTTTGAGTCTGTCCTGCGCGAGGAGTGTAATTACATCGCTGCACAGCCTTACTGGGACTGGACCCTCGATAATCCAGCATCTAACGGATCACTGTTCAAATCTCCTGTCTTGTGAGCATTTGGCGGTGATGGATCAGCAAGGGATAACTATGTGGAAAACGGTCCTTTCAAAGGCGACACCTATTGGAACATTAGACCGTCGGAATCCTACGCCAAAAACCCACGGTGCTTGAAAAGGGCGATCACTGAGGATCTTTACAACACTAGCTCCAGCTGGGATGATATTTATCCGCCGATGATGAGAGAAAGAGCTACGTGCAACTTCAGGCCTTCATCGATGGCCTCGACTTTATTTCAGAGAAAGACAAGGTCGCAACGGGAGCATCCTCCAGACCCCATAGCATGGGCCACTCGATCATTGGTGGCGATATATATTCAATTCACTGCCTTTCAAACCTCGGCTAGAAGGAAAAGAGTTGCTGACATACTAGAACAGTTTATAGATATATACTCCTCTCTAAACAATCCTATCTTTTAGTTACACCATACTCAACTTAATTATATATAATTGCTATAGTAAAAGGCAGATAATTCGCGTCTTGCTGATATTAGTAGTACTAGGACGCTTAATGGGTTTAGTCCTAGTGGTAATGAAGTTAAGCTCACTACCCTTGATACCCCTCTATAGATAGGCTTTATGAACGACGATATACCGGTAAAGGCAGTTATAGATACCATCAATGGTAACGGCGAGGGCGTTCTTTGCTATAAGTATGATGGATCTCCATCTTTAGCTGGAAAGCAGGGATTCTAGTTGTTAAGAATCTACGTCCTTATCACCCTAGTTGAGGCTACTTTCAGGTGCTGTAAAGAGCTTAAGTGGCTACCTGCAAGTTCTTAACGGTGTGTTATCAGGAAATCCAGGAAATCCCCTTGCCTTTAGGATTTAGAATATTGGTCTAGAAGTCTTAGGTTAAAGTTAAACATCCTAAAGAAGGTTTTTGGAAAAACTGTCCTATTCTTTCAATTGTCGAAAGGCTCCTGCCAGGTCACTCCAGGGATATCTGCCCCATTAAAATGCGAGAATGAAAGCTACATTATTCCCTACCTAAATTAGCCCATGGTGTATTCTAGTAATATTTTGCGTTACAAATAGCGACATCACACTGCTCAACCCCAAATTGATTGATGCCTCTTTCTCTTTAATTGAGACCTCTTCTTGATATTGCTGATCGGCGCCAACGGCTTCCTTAAGTCTCTTGACCTTGGCTGCCCAACCCGCTCCCTGAAAAGCAACGCAACTAGCTTCATTTTCCCCTTCGCAGAAGTTTGTGATGTGCCATAGGCGTAAATTCGTCTTATGTCTTTAGGTTCCTCTCATGTACCTGTCATGTAGCAGGGGCCCTGTGGGGCATGGTACTTTTGGGAGCCTTTCGACAATTGAGGGATAACCCTCCACGAAGGCCAGCTGAACCGTAACATATAGGCGTTTTAAAAATATTTCTGTAAGAGTCTGAAATTGGTTCAAATAGTGAAATTAAAGCTGTACAAGATACTTTAATAGAAAGATGTTCAAACTCTTCTCGAGGTAAACAATATCAACCAATGAAGGTCAGTTTGTGAAAATAAATGGTGATTTCTTTACAGTTTCACCCAAAAGCCCCCCTGCTTCTGCCGCCTCTTGATTTCTCGTGATGCAACCACAAACAAGCCTCCAACAACAAGAGTACTTCCCGAGAATACTTGCGCACCGGTATAGGAACCTCCTCCTGCGGATATGATGGCGCCTGAAACAGGGGATCCAAGCAGTGCTCCAATTCCAACAGCAGCGGAGATGATGCCCAGTCGCGCTCCTATTTTTGACATGTCCGAATTAATGATAGCAACCACGGCGAGAAAAAGCGATTGGACACCCCCTACAGAGAGACTGTAGAACGTCGTCCAGACATAGAGCCCAGGAGTTGAATGAACCGGGATCCAGGTATACATGCTGAGAGCAGAGGTAAATACGAATGCGGTAAACACATTCATTGTGCCAAGGTATCTTGCAATGAAACTTGGCAGCAGGCGGGCAATAAACCCGATACCATTGAGCACAAGTGTGAGGTTCAGGGAGTCTGTGTATGACAGCCCTTGCTTTTCCCGAGCGTAGGAGCTGAGAAAGAAGAACGGAAAGAAGACTCCTAAGAAGGCCTAGGGCGGATTTAGTCAGTTAAATCTACTTTGGAGTGCAAAATAAATTAAGAGAACGTCACTTACAAGGAAAGCCCCGAGGAGATATAGGGTGAACTCAGCCTCCTTGAACACAGACCAATCCACCAGAGGAGCTGGCTTTTTAGGCGCTTTTATCGGCTTGCCGCACGCCAAAGCAATGGCAAACGTGCCCATCTGTGTGAAGGCAATCGCCCGCATGGTCCATCCAAAACCGACACTTGGCAACAATGTTCTTGCCATGCTGGGATAGATTAGACCTCCTGTTGTGCTTCCACACGCTGCTATTCCCATGACAAGCGCAAGCCTCTTGCGGAAATACGTAGTGATGAGCGTCATCATCGGGGTAAGAAGAAGGCCGTTGCCGAGACCAGTGCAAAGCCCTTGTGCAAGAAGGATTTGCCAGTAAGTCTGGCCTAGTGAGGTCATAAAGGTCCCGAGAACGACCAAAACTGCCCCGGCAAAAGTGGTGATTCGAAAATAGCCAGCATCTGTAAGGCGGCCACTGACGATACCGGTAAAAAAGAGAAAGAATACGGCTATAGAGCCTATCCATGAGATATCAGAGCGTGAGCGTTGTAAAGTCGATACATAATAGGTCTGGAAAACACCGAAAGAAATGATAATGCCCCTTTTTTTGAAGTTCTTAGTTCAAATTCTTTGTCTGTACGTGTAAGGGATCAACCAACCAAGTGTTCATGATGGCAAGAAAACAGGCCAAAACTGTTAAACCCTGACGTTCAGCCTTGTGTAGATTTGTCCGTATATGATTTACGTACCGGCCATCCAGGCTATCAAGCCTCCATCCGGTGGCGTTGTTGTTGCCTCCGCCGTGTTCGAAAGTCCGTGACTCAAAGCTGGACTGAGGGCAGCCGCCAGGTCCAGATCACCCTGCATCTCATCTTCTGGCGGGAAAGTCGAGGAATAATCATTGTCTCCATCCCTGGACTTCGGTTCCATATTGTTTACGGGGCTGTCGCTTCGGTCGTAGCCAGCAGTATAGCCGTTGTTTATACTTTAGCCCTGTCTGGATCGTGATAGATTAATATTTTATAATAAAGCCTCTGATATCCAATATGTGACCAGTTGAGAGACTTGAAGCTGCACACACATATATATGTCTAAAAATTCCCATGGGGCGAGAAATTGTTTAAGTTTCGGCTGCTCAGGTCCGTACAAACACGAGCAATATGATTAGTCAAGTCCTGTCATTAGTCTAACTCGAAATAGTTGCAAAACCCGAAAGAAGCATTTCTAAGCTCGCCCCTAGAGCAAGACACGCACCTGTACACGATATCCTAATTTCCGTATGTATTACTTTGGTAATAGGTAAAACTCATACAAAGAAAATTGGATCGCGAAATATTTGTCATCGCTGAGTTCATAACATAACTACAGCACTAAGGTTTGATACTGATATAATAACGGCTGAATTAATTAATATTCTTACCTTTCATATAATTACATCTCTTGGGTTAACATTCATAATAAGTGTGTACAATCGATAAGTGCATGCATTACTATGTTATATAACTAAAAGTCGCCTACTTACTCTGTAGCACTTAAGGCTTGAAAAAATAACAAAAATGTGTCAGAACTTACCGTAGGCTAGATGAAGTAATGTATACCTAAATACATTTTCTAACAATTATTAGCTATTTTATCGTCTATATGGAAGCTTAAAATATAATACAAACTTTTTTATAAATGTATTTTCTTATATTACCTTATTTACTCAAATACTGAAATGCCTTTGAAGGTAATGAGAAAGACACACATCAGTTAAATATAATATTGTTAACTTTTAAACATTTCAAGCATCATTTAGGTTTTTAAAAATAATTTTAAAAACTGCCATTGAAGTAAAAAGTAAAGTGGTGTATACACCTTTCTAACGCACATACTTGTTACACATGTTAATACAAACCTTTTCTTAGATTTGTTTTATTAGTTTTAATATCTTTATATAAATAATACCCTATCTAGTGTTTTCCATCCAATCTTTTACTATACCTATCTGTTATAAGCTTGATTTCGCCTGAACGAACTAACGAGTTGGCACTTCTGACAATGTAGCGCTGTCTTCAAGAGCCATCAGTTGATTTCAACTGCTCGCCCAGGTTTGAGCCAGCGAACGTTTGATAAAACACCCTCCTCCTCAAACTCCTCCTTAAGCTCCTCCTCGTGCTGGGTAAAATGATCCCAAGACTCATAATGCATGGGCACCATGACATCTGCCTTGATATCTCGGAAGAGGCGAGCTGATTGACGACCGTCCATGGTAATCTGAAGGACTTCATCCGGATGGCCAGGCTCTCCCTTATCGTTAAAGCCTGGGAATGATGCTTTACCCAGGTTCATTAGAGCAACAGAAATATGGTATTTGTCAGCCATCTTGGCCAAATCTTCGATATAGACGGTGTCTCCGGTGAAGTATATGGCATACGGTCGACCATCGGGAGCAGTCCCAAAGTCTTCAGTGTGGATAATAAACCCGACACACTCATGACCGGGCCAATGCTTGCAAGGTGTAGCGGTGATATGAAAAGTCTTGCTAGCGATGCGGATGTCCTTCTCCTCCCAGTCTGCAAAGCCGTGGACGCTGGGTCGTGGGGCAAGGTTCTTTGCGCCATCTTGAGTGGTGACAACGTAACGACCATCAAGCAGCTGACGTCCAAACTCATCGAGATTATCGGGATGGTTTTCGTGGCTCAAAAGAACGGCATCGATATGAGGAATTTCGTTCATCTTCAATGCTGGGTCATCGTGGACTTTCAGGGGCTTAGCACCGGGCACGGTCGCCCATTCGGCGCCCGCTGGGGAGAAGAAGGGGTCGGTGAGAAAGGTGATGCCATCAATTTCAAGAATCGCTGTGGCAGTTCCGATATGAGTGATGCTGACTTTGCTTTTGAAAGCTGATGTAATCATGATTGCAGATATTCACAAACGTTGCGAAAGTTGTGTTGTAAGTATTTGGAGCATCCCAGAGAGTCATTAGTGCGGTTAGTTCAATATCTTTATACTTGCCAATCCCCTAAGCGCAAACCAAAGTTTGAAACATGATTTCAAATCATAATTAATGATTATTAAGATTAATAATTATTCAGGTGCCAGCCCCAGCAGGTAGAAAAAATCTTTACAAGACTGCCTGCCAAAAGCTCTAAAACACTCTTTGCAAAGGCATACTACGCTTTTGCACCAGAACTTGACAACCAATAGTTAAGCTTTGTATTACGTGGTAGTGGATGGCAAAACCCGCTAAACCATAAAGAGATGCAAAATCCGAACCACAATAATGCCCCATAAGGAGATGTGGCAGGGTGGGCATGATCTTCACGGCCCCAGGAAAGGATTGTATTAGTAAGTAACTTTGCCAAATGGAATACCCCGGACAAGAAACAACTGAACAATCAATTCACACACTTTGCTGCTGCTCATCACATCCACTCTGACCCTTGAAGCACGTTATGTGCGACACTCTGGAGACCTTCTTTCCAGTTTAGTTAATAATGGGCGCCCTTCTGCTGTTTCTATAATTAAGATATCCTATTATGTGAAAGCAGCGGCGATTGAGATGAACGTTTTCTTGACAGTAACAGTGGCCCAGGCTTCTGCATAAGAAGAGCACGAGATAAGCAAAATTCAGTAGATGCAAGTATGGGCTGATATAAGGCGTGAGCAAGTAAAACTGGGGTTTGGTACCGCCACCAATGAGCGACTGCCATCGGCTCAGCAGTCGGGGTATCGTCTTACATCCAACCTGACGTGCTGTGAGCATATTCCCGCAAATACGTTCCCCTCACGCTCGCATTCCCGTCCTTCCTTACGAGATGAGGCTAATTGAAGCGCGAGTATTTGTTGAGGCGCAATGCATTTCTTTCGTGGAATTTTACGGCGACAAACCGAGATATGCCATTCTTTCACATACCTGGGAAAGTCACCAAGAGGTCACCTACCAAGATTGTAATCTTGAATCGTCCAAGTTGAAGAGAGGATATGAAAAAATTCGCAAGACCTGTGAACTAGCACTCGGCGATGGGCTCGACTATGTGTGGATTGACACCTGCTGCATCGACAAATCCAGCAGTGCCGAATTGACTGAAGCTATCAACTCAATGTTTCTTTGGTATCAGGAGGCAAGCGTCTGCTATGTTTACCTCGTGGACAAGTTTGAGGGATCGACGCTGGGGGACTGCCGATGGTTCAGTCGCGGCTGGACGTTACAGGAGCTGATAGCGCCAAAATTCATGACCTTTTTCAACAATTCATGGGATTGCGTTGGTAGCAAGAACAGCCTCATGAGCCAGCTTACAGTTATCACCCCAATCGACCCTGATATACTTCGTCACAACGCTCCAATTTCATCCGCATGCATCGCAAAACGACTCTCTTGGGCTGCGGGTCGAAAGACGACTCGGGTGGAAGATATGGCATACTGCTTGCTTGGAATATGCAACATCCACATGCCGATGCTCTACGGAGAAGGCAAGACTGCTTTTCGACGCCTTCAAGAAGAGATCATCAGATCGACGTACGATCTGAGCCTTTTAGCCTGGACGCCACCAGTTTCATCGGATGTGCTGGAAGAAGAATACTGCGGCTTTTTAGCTGAGTCGGTGAACCATTTCGCCTCTTGCTCGGAAATGTACTCTGTGACTGATTCCCTCATGGACGAGGGCGAAATCAGTGTTTCGAATAAGGGTCTCAGACTAATGGCCCGAGTGTGCGTTTTGGACTACTCAGATCAGGGTTATAGATACGTGCTGAAGCTGGATTGCATGGCTCCTGGTTTCGAAGGAGACTTTTTGACAATACCGATGCGTAAGGTGGGGCCTAACACTTTTGCAAGATCTCATAGCCGCGGTGAAAGTGGCTATTCTTTTCACCTTGAGACTGCTTCTTGGGGCGAAAGTGCATTTTACACAGTTACCCTTCTCACCACGATGCCTAGTCTGACCGTACGATCACCGTTATCTGTGGCTAGAGGCTCGGACCTTATCTCATACAGTCGCTTCACGTTGGTTTCGATAGAGCTGCCGCCAGACATATCGATAATATACGCGGTTGAGACACCTGTCAAGTTCTGGGATGCGGAAGACCGTGCGTTCTTCGGACCCCATGGCTCATACCAAAATTGGGGTGCTTTTGTGCTCGAGACAAATACCCTATTCATCTGCTTTTGGCATAAGGAGGATATTGAGTGGACCTTCAAGGCGAGTCTTCTAGACATGTCGAGACCAGAAGTCTACAATCTATGGAAGGACCTATTTCTCTCTGCGGAGCAACTGGGCTATCAGCAAATGATCGTTCGGTATATGCTGAACAACATTGAAGATGAAATGGAGTCTTCTGTCGAGACTCATTTAAAGGATAAGAAAATCACACTATCATTCAAAGTCTGGCGCGCTGAGAGTCAGAATCTATGCAGCGGTCCGCGATGGAGGGTTGTGTTCAGCAGGACAAGCTTTGTTAGAGATAGCTCTTCTGAGTCAGAGGGGGAGTGATATAGATGCCTCTGATTTCTGTTAGGCAGGGAGATACAATTGTTGCAGATGCGTCAGCCGCAAAAGTTGTCCCAGCTAGATTCATTCGAAAAGTAGTTGCCATGATTGCCATCGATTGGAGCTTTGAGCTAATTTTCACTTGTCAGAAGCGCTGATATTTCGAAACGAATGGTCCACAGCCAGAACTTGTGTGAAGTGGATCAAGCATGAGTCATACTTGTGTCCCCATCACCTGTGCCAGAAGCCTCAAGTTTAACCTTATAGTGAGTAGTTGTGTAGCAAGTGAAAGTTACTTAAGCCTGTTACAAAAGTATATATAAAAGCACGCCAGGTTCGCTCAAAAAGAGTCTGTATGCAACAAAATCTATGCATCATCCTTAAATAGTGATTTCCTATAAAGCAAGGACTTTTCATGCCCAGGTTCGGCTACGACAGAACATTCAACCTCCACTCCACTAATCACTTCACAAAGACAAAACCGTGTCCTTTGTCACTGAACAACCATGGAACTCCTTGACGAGCTCGAAGCCATGGCCCAAGCTGCATTGGTATCTCAGGACGATGATGACATCCCTGAATCGGCTATCGCTCGTCGGCAAAAGCTATTTGGCTACTCAGCTGCAATGGCGGAGACAAAGATCACGGAGCACCGAAACGACCCCTTGCGTTTCACTGTTTCTGAAGATCACTGGGCTGTCGAGCGAGATCGTATGGAGGCTGAGGGACACGACCATGAATCTTATGAACACTCATGCATTCGTACCTCGCGAGATGCGATCAACCAACGCCAGGAGATGAATATGAAGGAGAAGCGAAGGCTTCGAGCCTCGACCTTCTTGGTCAAACTTGAAGGGCCCTTGCATAGTGTCCAAGCCGTCATTCAAGCAGTTGGTAAATCATCTGCAGACTCGACTCAAGTTCTTGCAGCTACCGACCTATCTAGGCAACCTAGTTCCTTCTTCAAGGTCAATGGGATAGACAAGCTAGCCATTGAAGGATGGCTAAGGGAGAATCCTTATCCTGGTTTCACACCCACATTCATTCGGGATCTAAATGCACCAAAAGTTCTCTCGTCAAATTCTGTTCACCCAACCCTGGGTCTTGATACAACACTGCCTCAGTATCGACTTGGATCAGACGAGATACCTCGACCTGCACAGAAGGAATACCCAGTCGGGTATTTCTTTCACGGAACCCTTGCCGACCCATCCGTTCTGACTCCCAGGCTGAATACTATGCAGCCAAGATTCGAGGTGGAGCTTTGAAGACTTGGGGAAGATACAATGCGTTGGTGGACGATCCAAGTCGCACCAACCTGGTCCACGGAAAGGCACTTCTGGTTCACACTCGAGAAGAAGAAGAACGTCTGCGGGCATATGAAACACATGTCTATGAAGTCGTCCGATGTAGTATCGAGATGGGCTCGGAAGAACCCGCAAATGGTCTGACATTTCGGTTTATTACAGATATGATGGATTGGTGGAAGTACGATTACTATTTTCTCTATGTTTGTATCATAAAAGGTTCATTACCATTTATATCAACATTGCAAAAGGATGAGGTAAGGTGACATGACGTATGATACATTAAATGCTCGAAAATCAACAGTAACTGAAGTATGTTTAATTGCATACCATGGCGCCGATAGAGAACTGTTGATGCTACTCACTTAGTCAAGCAAGGTAAAAGAACCCACAGAGCGTCCATTGTTTGCCTTTGCAACAAACACAATAAGAAACTGATCTCTAGGGACCTTCGCCAGCGCCGGGTACTTGTCGCCCCGCTTAGGTCGAGTGAGGCGAGCCGTCCACACCCAGTTGTTTCCCGTCCAACTTACAGGGGATGTTGGCTCACCATTGGCAAAGACTTCCAAGCCAAGTGAAGCCACAGGTGAGCTTCCCAAGTCGCAAGTTCCTGTTACCTTGACCACGCGAACATCTGAGTCAGAGGTATCCTCACTGACAGCCGTAATCGATGCTATCTTGAGGGTTGGTGTTGCGATAGGGGGAGACGAAGGACTGGAGGCGATGACTGTAATCTCGTCCGAAGGCAGTGACGGCGCCAATGGCGGAATCTCCCGACGCTTCGTGGCTTCCTCATAGGCAAAGGCATAGCTCAGTAGGTTAGAGTCGTCATATGCTCTGCCGCAGAAAGAGAGTCCGACAGGCATCTTCTCCTCAACAAGATTCCCCATGGGCACGGTTATACAGGGAACCCCAAGATGCTTCAGTGATCGGCCACCATTTGCATACTTGACTCCATCACGTAGTGCAGACATCATCGACTCGTAGTTTTCATCCGAATCAGCCAACGCAACATCGCCATTAGTCGGAAACACCACAGCATCATACTTGTTCTCGACCATCCAGTCCTCCAAATCCTTCTTCCGCATGGCCTCCAAGGCCTGGAGCGCCTCCCGACATCTAGGCAGGTCAGCGAGGCTCTTGTCTCCCCAGTTCTTTACTGCAGCAACCATGTCCTCGTAGCGGACCTGATTTTGGGACTCGGTGTGCTGAGATGGGTCATCCATTGGGGCAATGTGAGGGTGAATCTTGTCAAGCTCGACGCCAGATGTGAAGTTGGGTATATCCTTATCACCATTGCCGCGGAGGAAGCTGTTCCAACTCAAGGCAATCATCTCGCACCGCTCGAGCGCTGGCCATTCCTCTGGTAAATTGGGAACATTCATGCTCTGGCCGGGAAAGTCCTGTTTGGTGTAGTTCTCAAAGAGCGGGAAATCAGTCTCAATGACGGTGGCGCCTAGCTTCTCAATGTCTGCGCGCGCTCTCTCCCATAGCGCCCGGACGCCTGCAGAGCATGCGTTCACTGGCTTGGCACCTTCAACTCCAATGAAACATCGAGGGACAGCCAGTCGCTTGTTTCGAAGGGCGTCTGGATTGGCCAACGCAAGATAGTCAGCCGGTCGAATCTCACTAACCCTGGGGAGTGATACATATGGTTGTGAGCGCCAAAAGTCAGCGTCGCCGGCAGCATCATCATCCGCAACGACAACGTTTAGAACATGAAACAGGTCCCCCATAGTCCTCGTGTGAGGAACGACCTGGTCGCAAGTTGGGTACAAAGGCCATAATCCTCGGGGAGGAATAACACTGCGGGAGGGGGCATAGGCGACCAGGGCATTGTTGGATGCTGGCGATCGACCTGAAGTGACGGACTCTCCGGCGAAGCCAAAGGCAGCCAGACTTGCGGCAGTAGATACACCGCAGCCATAGGAGGAACCAGACGCATAAGCAGTGGGCATATACTTCTGATTATATGGGCTCTCTGACCGTCCGTACAAGCCGCGCTGACAGCCGCCATCAGCCATTGGGGGCATATTGGTCTTACCAAGCACGACTGCCCCTGCGTTGCGAAGCAGCTCAACGATGGCAGCGTCGGAGGTAGCTTCGAGCTTTGCAAACGCAGGAGATGCAGCTGCGACTGTCATGCCTCTGACCTTGTAGCTGTCTTTGACAGTAAAAGGAATACCCTCTAGAGGTCGTGCCGGTTTCCCGGAGGCACGGTAATCATCTGAGGCTTGAGCTTCGGCGAAGACCTCTGGGTTTATCAAAGTAATTGAGTTCAGACAGGGACCGCGACAGTCATATTTGCCAATGCGATGCAGGTAAAGAGCAACAAGCTCAACACTTGTGATGACTCGATCATCCAGCAACTGTTTGAGGTCGCTGATGCTGGCCTCGAGCAGTTGAAGCGTTGGTTTGCTGGTCATTTTGGGCGAAGGAGATGCACAAGAAGTAAGAGGCAGCCAGATGGTGATGAAGAATCGAGATCTTTGAGAAACACTAATAATTCAAACGAAATGCATCACTTATATGCATGCAGCTGCTGTGTTCCAATCTGTTGCTGTTCGTTCCATGGCGCCCGAACATAGTTTCCGAGATTGACTTTGCACTTGTCTCGACCTCCGAGAAAGCATTTATTGCGCTTCGACATTCCCTTCGGAAAACCACGGCCTATTAAAAGAATGATTGGCTGCGAATTTCATCTTCGGAGCCACTAAGCCTCAAACGGAAGGTCGTTGCGAATTTCGCGGGGCGAGCGGCAATCGAGAATGGCCCATGACCCCCTTTGCGACTGCGGGGGATATTCCTCCCTTTCAGCCAAAATCAATCAAACAATCAGTCAATTAGTTCTTCCGAAGTTGAAGATTAGATGAACTCTTTCATGTTCGGAAGCTAGATCAATTGCACAGGCAGCGGAGGGGAGTTCCCTGCTCATTTAACCCCGGCGGCCAACAATGACGGGGCCGGGGAAAGCCGCATGCTGTTGGACATGCAAAATCAGGCACGTCAAATGCGACGGAGCACCAACGGCTTGTCTCCAATGTACCAGCAGGGAGATCCAGTGCCATGGATATGGACCAATGCCATTGTGGTTGGACGGAGGTCCAAACGAAAGGCAGGAGAAGCAGCGCATCAAGCTGGCTGTAAAGAAGAACTTTAGACAGAAAAAAAGTCTTCAGGCACGTCAACTTAGAGATCACAATCGGGACGTAAGTCAAGGACGGAGCCTATTAACTGTTGCTAGAGAGGACATACAACTCAGTAACGCTTCTCAAAGTAAGTATTTGGTTATCACCGTAATGGATTCTTACTCAACTCATCAGCATATGGCGATCCAAGAGCCACCCCGTCGCCAGTATTAACTCCTCGATCCTTGCAAAACCGGGTCCTTTTAGGACAGTCGTTCGCCGAGCCCCTTCACTACGACGAAGCCAGTCTTCTGATGCATTATCTAGACCATGTCTTTCCCTACCAATACCCTTTTTTTGACAAAGCAAGGTTGTCTCGAGGCTGGCTTCTTTGGCTTCTCAGCAAGAATGGGCCTCTCTATCGAGCATCCATGGGTCTCGCGGCGTTGCACCAGCGATCACTGCTAGGCGAGACAAACAACCATCACCTTGAACTTGAGTTCCATACCAAAGCGGTCAGGCAGCTACAGGACTTTCTATCGTCCATCAACATCAATGAGCTGCGGCCCGAAAATGAGACTCTGGTTGAGATCATCACCTGTGGTATCGCTCTCATTAGCTTCGAGGTAAATACGCGTGAAAGCGACCGGAACGAGTGCTGAAAGACAACAGGTCCTCAGAGGAAGTGCAACAGACTGGCAACCGCATTTAACCGCCATGTCCTCAATCGCAGTCATGATGCATAATCAGCCTCCGCTTCCGCAATCAGTAGACCAGCTTCCGTCCCCTCTCTTTGAAGGCAAAGCTACTGCAGCTATGGCCTTCCATCTCCCGGTCCTGCTCTGGATGGATTTGCTAGCCTGTGTAGCCACGCGGGAGAGACCAAAGCTTCCATATACTGAGTGGCTGGGACCTAATTGCACATTTCAGCTCGCACACATAATGGGCTGCCACAACTCAGTCATGAAATCCATAGGGGACCTCGCAGTTTTAAGCCAGTGGAAGTCTGCTTCTCTCGACGGAGGCAGTCTTGACGTTGAGGAATTCCAGACAGAAAGACAACGGATTGAAGATGAACTAGAGAACGTCATGGACACAACTCCTATGGCCTCAATGGAATCTCGAGGATTGCAATCCAATGTTCTAACAAGTCAAGCATTCAGTCACACGAAATCGGAGCAGCGACCCGATCAAGATTGTGTTACTCGCATATTTGCTGCAGCGGCATTAGCTCAGCTCGCTGCCTTGAGCACTGAAGTCTTAAAGAACATCTCATCGACTGTAGTGAGGAGAGGCGTCAGTCGAGTGATTCTCGAGATCAAAGTGGCATCCCAAATGGTCTCTCCTCGGCAACTGAGCTGGCCTATATGCGTTGCTGGCTGCTTAGCAGATCAAGACCAGCAGCCGTTCTTCGAAGCGTTATTAAACGGTGTGCTATCTGAAGGAACTGGCATGATAGGAAACTGTGGCACAGTTCGGGATATCTTGCGGGCCTGTTGGAGAAATAAGGCTGAGCAGCCGAATCAACAGTGGGACTGTAGTATTACTATGAAACAGTTGGATATATATGCCCTTCTGATATAAGAGCAATAATGAATAGAAGTAAATAGTAAAGCCGTTAGGCTTATACCGCTTTTATTCGGGTCTAGTATTGCCTTGCTATGCGTTTCTTTCACGCCCTACGCCCCACCTCTTATGCTCTATGCTTAACCCACTCCTTACTCCGAACGCCCCACGTCTTTCTCCGACATCTTCATAGTCCGACGTGGCAGCAACATAAAATACCATCCATAGAATAGCCTCGACTATTATGCTACCCAATTCGTAACACCAACATACCTGGAAGAATTCTTCGCTTTCTTCATCATGACAACCGGACACCTTGGCGCTCAGTTGGACGCCTCCAAGCTCGAGCTTACTCATGCGCCAACCTCAAAACCTGTTCCTAACCCCGACTCTCCCGAGGTTGCAGCTCTGAAGGATGGTACTGATCGTATGATTGTTGTTTCCTGGACGGCTCAACAAGGCTGGGAAGCCCCTAGAGTGGTTCCTTATGGCCCAGTCTCGTTAATGCCCACTGCCAGCGCATTGCAATACGCTGCGCAATGCTTTGAAGGCATGAAGGTCTTTCGCGGATATGATGGTCACCTCCGCCTCTTTCGCCCTTTGTACAACTGTGAGCGTTTGCGCAACTCTGCATCACGTATCGCGCTCCCAAGCTTCGACCCAAAGGAACTGCTCAAGCTCATTCATAGGCTTTGTGCGCTTGAATCGCCGAAATGGCTGCCAAAGGATAAGCCTGGAGCTGCTCTTTACATTCGACCAACTTTGATCGGATCGGGCCCAAGTTTAGGCTTTAAAGCACCGGAAGAAGTCCAGTTGTACATATTTATGATCTATTGGCCATCCCCAAAGACGACTGGGCTTCAAGGAACACGCTTGTTGGCAAGCAGTGAGTCAGTCGTTAGGGCGTGGCCGGGAGGTACTGGGGCAGCAAAGGTTGGCGGAAACTACGCTGCAGCTCTGGTCGAGCACATTCAGGCCAAGGCTAGGGGGTTTGACCAGGTTCTTTGGTTATATGGACCGGACCGTCAGATCACTGAGGCTGGGGCAGCCAATATTTTCATCATCTGGAAAACAACGTCTGGATCACTACAGATGGTTACCTCCCCTCTGGATGAGAATAACCTGATCCTCGCTGGTAATACACGACGAAGTATTATTGAGCTTTCCCAAGCCATGTTCGACAGCGAGGATGCAGAAGATGGATTACGATGTGAGGTCCTGGAAAGAAAGATCACCATGATTGAAGTAGAAGAGGCCGCTCACGAAGATAGACTCCTCAGCATTTTCTCAGTGGGTACGGCATATTGGATCCAGGAAGTCGCCGAGATCAACATCGACGGAAGAATCATCAATATCGGTTTGGGCAAGAGACCTCACGTTGCGCTGCTCAGAAACCGGATGAGCGATATTATGTTCGGGACCCAAGAAAGTGAATGGGCGGATGTTGTCCTTGAGGAGTGACTAGTACAGATTTAACACCGAGGCTTTGTATTTCATTGCTACCAATCCAGGGTATTAGATAGAATAATCATAAAGATTCGTTCACCTATAACGATTTCTACAATGACAAGAAAACGCGGGGAGATGGTAGAAAGTGGGCGAGATGGAGATGAGATGCAAAATTACTATTAACCAATGATCATATCGTGATTACCCTTGGCCAACCTGATTGATACGGCTTTGTGCCGATGTTTTGCCTGTATCTCAAAAGAGACGCTGTGGTGACTGGCACAGCTGTGATGAGGTTGAGGGGCTACTGCCATAGGGTTATGACGTTAAAAGAGGCTTTAGCCCTAACATAAAGGTGAAGAACACAAATTAATAGATATATGTGCTTTGCTCACTGTTTATATTTAGCTTTTGGCCATTTTTACAGCAAATGCTTTGTACAACACGGTGCGTAGTGCATATTACCAATGCCGAAACCCTGTTTCCAGATGCTGCACTCCTCTAAGAATATCCAAATAGCCCTGACATACGGGGCCCTTGTTTGACTCGTCAGTTTGAAAGCGGATGGGCTTGAGGTCCGTAGGGCGCACTTGAGCCGAGTCGGAGTCAACCAGACGTCGGAGTGTCATCTACGCCTTCGGCGAAACCACTCACTAAGTTCTGTGTGGTGATATAAGCTCTCAGCCATAACGCATATCGTACTCCGCTCTTCGGCTTTTGTTTTGTTTCATATAACAAGCCAGCATTACCATAATACAATTTGACTTGAGCACCGGCAGCGACATCTACTACACCTACAGTTTTCGCCCAATTGGTTCCCAAATATGAAAACATCCTCCGTCAACGTCGCCGAATATCTATTCAGGCGGCTGCGTCAATTGGACGTAACGTCAGTCCACGGAGTGCCTGGCGATTTTAATCTTACCCTCCTTGATTATATTGAGCCTGCTGGCCTGACGTGGGTAGGCAATGCCAACGAACTGAATGCTGGTTATGCAGCCGATGGCTATGCTCGCGTCAAAGGTATCGGCTCTCTTGTGACCACCTTTGGCGTCGGAGAACTCTCAGCTGTTAACGCTATTGCTGGGGCATATGCCGAAAGGGCGGCTGTGGTTCACATTGTGGGCATTCCTTCCAGAGCCACCCAAGAGTCGAGATTGCTTGTCCATCACACATTTGGTGATGGAGAATATGGGCGTTTTGCGGAAATCCATCGCCATGTCACTGTTGCCCAAGCCAGGCTACTAGACGTCAGAACTATCCCCGACCAGATCGACTCAGTCCTTCAAAAATGTCTCCTACACAGTCGACCGGTTTACATCGAGGTCCCCGTTGACCTTGTCGATGCCCCGGTATCAGCAGCTGGCCTCAGTCACACACTGACATTGCCAACCGACCAAGCCAACGCATCGACATCAGTTGCGGTAGCCAAGATCCTGCACAAGATTTATTCTGCAAAGCAACCTCTCATCATTGTTGATGGTGAAGTGCGGCCAATGAGAGTTGTTAACGAAGTGCAAGAAATAGTCAGAGCTACAGGCTGGCCAACATGGGCTACAGGATACTCCAAGTCTCTGGTTGATGAAGGCTTGGCAAACTTCCATGGCGTCAACAAAGGAAGCTTTGAAGCTTCTACGTCTCGCGATTTCATCAAGCAGGCAGACCTAATTCTTTGCTTTGGACCTCATTTCACCTCCACTAACACATTCTTGTTCTCAAGCATTCCCGATCCGCAAGTCACGGTCTTATTTATGGACATGGAGGTCAGGCTAGGAAACGAGACGATTCGAAATTGCCCAGTCAAACCGCTCCTAGCTCGTCTCTTGCAAGACCTAGATCTTACCAAGATACACAAGTATGATCCTTACCCTGATCTTCACAGGGACAGCCTCTTGTCCTTTTCTGATCTTCCCTCGGATGGAGTCATTGACCAGAAGAATGTGTGGCGCTTACTGGGGAACTTTCTTCGACCAGGAGACATTTTGATGGCGGAGACCGGCACAGCTGCTTACGGAGCTCGACACATTCACTTGCCATCTCACTCCAAGTACTTCGGTCCCATAACCTGGCTCTCTATAGGATACATGCTCCCTGCTGCCCAAGGCGCTGCACTCGCCCAGAAAGAGTTGATGGGTACCAATCAGTGGTCCGGCATTGACAATGCACGCACTGTTCTACTTATGGGCGATGGTAGTTTTCAAATGACTGCTCAAGAGCTGTCGACCATGATCCGACATGATCTCAATGTTGTGGTATTCCTTATCAACAACGATGGCTACACTATTGAGAGGTGCATTCATGGACTGACGCAGGGATATAATGATGTGCCATCATGGCGTTACCTGGAGGCGCCCCGTTTCTTCGGAGCTCCTGAGGATACATTCACTCGCTCTGCGAAGAACTGGGGTGAACTTGAGGACGCGCTGGGTAGTAAGGCTTTACATGATGGCAAGGGCCTGAGGATGGTAGAAGTGCTGATGGGTCGAGAGGATGCACCTGAGGGGCCACTGGCACAGTATCTAGACAAGCAACAAATGCGTGTCAATGGGAAGATCTAGCTGCTACTTAGTACTGCTGGAGGAAAAAATAAACTCTTTTCTCTTTGATGAACTAGGTCAGTCTCAATTTGACTCTGACGACCTTCAACATGGAAAGCGAATATTTGGGTCCTGTTACTCATCATCCTACCGCTCTCTGAGAACGAGTGCATGCTGGAAGTTTGGCCAACGTGGTACAACCACGTTTAATTCTTCCAAGACTCGTATAAACAATAGAATGGGGTCGGAGAGAAGACAAGTGACAGGTATAGGGTGACATTGCCCGAAACAGTCGGAGTCCGATGGCATTGCGGGGTACGTTTCTCCGGACCCACCACAGAACATCGATCCGGTCGTTTCTCCGAAAATGAAATGCCGAGGGGTGATACTTCTCTCCGATGCCTGGATTGTCCTCCATAACATAACACCGCAGGCTCGATAATCACCCACCACGTGTCATTTCGATGCCGAGAGAACGGAGAAAACCCGCTTGCAACCCTTGTCGGACTTCGAAACTGGCCTGCGACCATGAGCAGCCCGTATGTTCTAGATGTCGGGCCAAAAACCGGGCCAGTGACTGCATCTATCGCTCCAGGCCTTTTCAGAAAGTCAAGGGGCCGGCGCGATCGGGGTTTGCCTCTACCCCTGCACAATCTCCGGTCCAAACCCCAGTTCAGGCTCCAGTGGGCTCGGTATACGTTTCGGAGAGTCCTATCCCTTCCTCTGAGTAAACCCATACCTGCCCTACTGCGAGATGATCCGAGCACTGATTTTTCACAGAGCACCACAAGTTTCAGGTGGTCCAACTGGGGCTGGAATCGCCGATTCAGCTTCGGGGGGTATGCTGCCCAAGCATCATCTCTACCCGAACGCCGGATATCTTGGATCTTCTAGTCATAGTGCGCTCTTCAGTCATTTGCCTGTTGGGCTTGAGCAAGAAATGACGGTTGAACATGATGATTTCGGACCACAATCATTCTCATCACCTAATAGCACAGTAAATGAGGCCCATATAGCACATGGCGCTCAACTCATTGACCAGCTTTGTCGATATGTAGACATTCCAGATTGTCTCGACTTGGCCAAGTCATGGCTTCAAACCGGAGCTAATCTTGTCTTGGGTGGCATGTTTACACAGATATGCCTTGAGACTATTGGTCGTGTCTTACTTAGACAAGGAGAGGGAGTCACAGACACCAAGGACATCTCAAGATGCCTGTTCTACAACTCCCGTCAGCCTCTGCTGACGACTTCACATACCATTCTTGAAGAGTATAGTGCCCAGTTTGATCACTTAAATGCGCGGTGGGAGAGTATATGTTTGGCCCTTATTGCCATTTCAAGGGCAACCATGGGGTATCGTCAACCTACAGGACCTTTTCCAGTAGAAGCCCAGCGACGCCACATACGCCGATTGACCATGCACTTTGCTGATAGATGTCTCGATATATGTCTCTCTATGGATTGTCTCAATGACCTACAGCTGGTGTTGCAATATGAAAACTTTATCCTTCATTCTCTTATCGATGGAGACCAAAGCAAGCTGTTACCAAAACTATTATACAAACGCCTTTCTGACCGCTGTCATAGGTTATGAGTCTTGGAGGAGGCTGGGAGATCTTTCAAGCTCCCTCTTCGCTCTTGGCTATCACCAGCAGCTCGAGAGCAGTGTACCTATACCGCCGTTCCTCAGAAGCCTACGTCAAGCTGCATTTGCATGCTCTTATTCTGCAGATAAGAACGTCTCCATCTTTCTTGGGAGACCCCCACGGATATCTAGAAAATTCTGTCATTTCCGACAGCTCAGCCTCGATGCTTACTACTCCTGCGATTGGGCGGCTGATTCCCAGCTCGATTTGTTTGCCGATACGCGCTGGGCAGCCCTATGTGCGATTCTCAAGGAGGAGATCATAGTCGAGCTGTTTGGTGAAGAGCGATTTGATAACAGAGTTGAGAAAGCAAGGTTAGCCATATCCTTTGATGTATCAATCCAGCTGACATCTCTAGCCGCATCCAAAACACCGCAGAACTACAATGGTCATCATTACCAAAACATTTTCGGCTTGACATGCCCATGAAGACTTGTGGCCGATCAGCTGCCGAATTAGATCTCATGCTCGGTATTAAGCTCAACTACCTTCACGTGCTATTTCTCCAGCATCTCGCGCTGGTCCGTCGAGTCTCGGAACCCGGTACTCAACTCCGCAACATTGCACAAGAAATACTCAGCCTCGTAGTCGAAGCTGTCCTATTCAAGGATCATCTCATTCACTCTGGCACATCTCTCACCTGGAAAGTAAGACAACGCCTAGCTAGTTGACCTTCACAGTCAACGCTAACGATTCCAACAGGTGGTATACTACGGTTTAGCAGCAGCAGGTGTCATTTGTTTATCCTTGCTCCAGAATCAGTACTCTTTGGAGCATGAATTAGCTGCTGCTCCCAAGATTCTCCGAGACCTCGGCGTGTTGGTCGCTGAAATTGAATATGGGACTTTGGTCTATAAAGAGGATGCCAATTATGCATTATTGGCTGGAGCTACACAGACCATTAAGAATATTCTGGATAACATATCCAGATCCAGACTTGACCAAAGGCGTTTGAATGTACAAGCACCTGATGCGACGGCTCAGGATGGCCCCGAGCTTGGTTCTGCATCCTGGGACCTATGGGGTACGGGTAATTTACAGGACTTTGATACTAACTTTTGGCTCATGCTGGCAGAGCATCCCTTAACATTCAATACATAGAAAAACCCACTTACTGTTAATCCTATGTAATTTTATTAAAGTCTTATTACTCTTGCTGCGGTTTGCGTTAGAGCTGTAACATGCGGAGTATTACTAGTCTATTCTATTAACAAGCTTTCCTATAGCCTCCAAAGTCTATATAGAAAGACAAACTCTGAGCCAGAGGTCTTAACTGCAAATAACATATCCAGCTTATAAGAAGTGTTTTAAGGTAAATAGAACTGGCTATAAAACTAGGCCTTAAGCTGTTAACAATTGCTCGTAAAACCCACCAAATCCAAGCTCCTTATTATGCAAATGGATCTCAAGAATCCAATGCCTCTTATTCCCATCCTTCCCAACTGTATTCATAGAGTTGTTGCTCCCTTGAGCAATGTAAAGGGTGATCTTGTCTTTGGGAATGCGTTCATGCGGAAAAGACCCGACAATATGTCCCGCAATCGGTGCACCAAACTCAAATCCCTCCTTCTCAGCAGCCTCTTTGGCAATATTATAGAGTTCTTCTCCCGTCATGTCTGGATTTTCCCAGTACTTGGCTTTGACGTCGATCCAGATTGGCTCGAGAGCGTCGCGCAGCTTGATCTTATTGGGGTCGTTTCCCAAAACAAAGGTGCGGCCAAAGTCCGCCTCCCACTCTTCAAAGACGGGCCCAAGGTCAACGATCAGGATGTCATCTTCTTGAATTATTCTGTCGGGTGGGTTTTCTTCGAATGGTCTCAATGTATTGGGTCCACTGCGAATCACTCTTTTATGCCAATGAGTCCTCACGCCGTGACGTTCAGCGCCGAGAGCATGGATTTGGTTGTTCAACTCTTTCTCGCTGATGCCAGGGCGGATAAGGCTTTTCTCAATCTCGTTGAATAGATCGATGGCCTTCTTCTCGGCATCTCGGAGTGAGGCCGCTCGTTGTTCTTCAGCATACATTTTTGAAATTTTAATTGTATTTGCTAAAATAAGATGTGACAGGACAATGAGGGTAATTGTGATGCGCCGGACCAGTCATAGTGAGGTTATTTATAACCACTAGGATGTTGTCGGCGGAATGATTATGCGGTCGTCTGTCATTGGACGGGTTCCTGTCTCAAATGCCATATTTGGGGTAGCACTCTCCGCTGTCGGACTGCCTTGTAATGTTTCTGCGCCCTATGCGGGTTCACGTAAGGTATAGCTTGTCAAGCTTGTCGAGCCTGTTAAATGAGTCACTGACATGAAGTGTTCATTCCACTATTCAACGACAACGAATATTTACATCTACTGCTACGCCACCCTTCGTCTCGTTTTCAATTTCCTAACCCCCTATAAGCAGCGACTAAGCCTAGTAAAGTCGCAAACGTTGAAAGTAGAGTTCTTTGGAAAGCAGCGCCTCTCCACGCAGCTACTATATCCTGGACATCGTCTCCAACCTGGGAGCCATTGTCGAACTTCTTTTGATTAACGAGATCTGAGTGGGCAACTAGAAACCTGTTCTTGATTTGAAAGATAACGAAGACAATATAAATGACTACTAGACCCATTGAAACTGCTCCATAAATGTTGAGGGAGGAGCCGGAGTTGTTGCTGCCTGTTAAACGTTGGTAAGGACGAATAGCATGATTGATGGGAGGAAATTGAGTACTCGAAAGAGCACCACCGAGAAGTCCTAAGCCAAAGCCAGTCACTACAAAAGGCCCGTATTTACGTCCAAATCCCAAGCGCGAAACCACTGTCTCTTGACTGTATCTCGATCCGACAAGAGTGAAGCATTGTGTACGGCTACCCTGTTGGAGCAAAGTCCGTAGCCTTAACGAGCCTCAGTCAGTATAAGCTCAAAGGAAATCGTGATTTTACTTCATACCAGAGGAGTTCGCGGCGGCAAGTAAGCTCGTTAGCTGGGGAACCTTGACCCAGTCGATCGCCATGGCTTCCGGTTTGATCTGGGAGGATAGTCAAATCACGCTCCGCGACATGGGCTTCATCAATTTTCAGGGCTTGAAGTTATCTTAGTCTTCGGACATGACAGATACAAGGGAGATGCTCTTTAAAGAAACGTGCGAGATCCAGAGCAGCGGACGATCTGATGAGCTGCTGCATAGCTTGGCTGTGGTCGGCCTCGGTCAGTACTTAGACAGTCTAGAGAAACTGGGCATGGGCCAGATAACCAAACTATCATGTCACGTGCCTACGTACTCCTTCTTCCCGAAAGAACATATTCAAGGCCTCTAAGCTATTCTGGAGAAGCTGATAGTTGCTGGAGAGTTTGATCTGCCATCTGAGAAGGCCATAAACGCCCAATTTCCTGACATTGGTATCGGATACTCAAACAGACATGGAAATCGCGACAGGAATGATAATGGGTTTGGATCATGGAGAAGAGAAGACTGACAGCTCCTAAACTTGATGAGATGGTGATAGAACGACTTTTATAAGAAGAAGTCATATTAAATTATTATCAAATCTATATTTAATCACCTAACCTGACCCTATATTATTGCTAAATCTAGGCTTTCCTAGATCCTATAGATGTATTTATAGTTCGCCACCAGTATTGATATAAGATAGAGAGTATTCTATCTGCTTAAAAAGACATACAATTCTAATCAATATAAGGAAAATAAGAAGCTGGAATTCTCTGTAACTATGATATACATCTTTATAAGACTGCCTAGTCTATTACTTATATAGGCCTTGATTTATTTTAACTATTAAAGTAGTTATAAAGATAAAACTTCTTAAGTAAATATCTTTAACTAGTAATCCTTGGAAGTAAAATTTCCTTAGAATTTATAAGGACCACTTAGGTATATGTCTAAAAGATATGGGGCAGTTAAGTACGCCGCGGATTCCGTCGAATGCCACGAAATCAGAGGTACGTGGTTTAGAGTTTGTAAAAAAATTGCTCACAGACTCTTGGCGCCTGTGATGCCTTTCACGGCTCGGACTGCCTAGTAGAACCCGAGATAGAACGAAGTAGTAAAGGTTATATGCTCCAGAGGTATATAAGGATAGTGTGAATTTGGGAACATAGGTCAAGCAAACTTCCATCACACACTAAGGTTCGATACAGGTAAGGTTTATGGAATGTCACAAGTACGCCAATCTCATAGTCTGAGGCCCGCTTCGACATGACAAGGTGTATTTAATCCGCCTCGTTATCTAATCAAACAGTATTCCAAATCTTCCTGCTGCTTTTCCAGACTTGAGTAGATCAATGACCTTGTTGATATCATTCAAATCCTTGAAAGATGTGATATGAGCTTTGATGCCGTGTTTGTAGCTGAACTCGATTGCCTCTGGCATGTTCTTTGGTATTCCACTGCTACGACCAGCAACGCGGTATTTACCAAGGAGGATGTCAAGAGCACTGATAGTTAATGGCTTCTTGGGGATTCCAGCTACCATCATAAGACCGTTTATCCTACCGCAAGTGATTAGTAAGTCGAAGCCTGGTTGTAGTAACTCAGATCTTACTCACCGCAATGTCTTGGGGGCGCTTTCATAAGCCACGTTGGAGGCGCTAAATACTGCTGCGGCGTGACAGCCACCGTTGGTGACCTTCTTAATCTTGGCCTCGTAGTCGGGCTCTTCCATCGTGTTGATGACGAAGTCGGCACCCAAGCTCTTTGCATCATCTAGTTGAGATTTGCTGATATCAATGCCGACGACTTTGAGCTTCATCGCTTTGGCGTATTGAACAGCTATTGGTTATAAGCGCAGGCAATGTCAGGACCATATGACTGGAACATACCAAGATGCCCAAGACCTCCGCAGCCAATGATGGCGATCCACTGTCCTTCGACAAGCTCACATCCCTTTACAGCATGGTAGGCTAGAACCCCATTAGCATCAAAGCGTGTGTCGCAAACGTCTTGTAGTCTTACCCGTAACACCCGCGCAAAATAAAGGTGCCGAAGTATCAGGGTCCATACCTTCAGGCAGTACCATGGCATTGCGGGCATCAGAGACTGAATACTCTGCAAAGTGGCCCGGACACGTGAAACCGTGCATTCGTCCTGTTCCCTCTTGACAGAATAGGTTGTGAACCTGGCAACCCTCGCAGTCATCTGTTCCTGTTAATTAAGTCCCACTTTAAGGGCAATCGACATACAGCATGCATAACTGCATCCAAGGCAACCGACAAGATCGCCTATCTTGAAACCTTTGACATCCTTTCCGATGCCGACGACATAACCAGTGTTCTCATGACCGATAGTGGTTCTGTCAGTCAGAGGCTCTTCGCCTGTGTGCCCCCAGAAAAGCATCTAAAATTGTGAGCCAAAGCATCCATGGATTGCCTGAATAACATACTAGGTCTGAATGGCACAGGGTAGCACTCCTTGTCTTGATGAGGATCTCATTGTTTCCATACTTGGGAATGTCTATTTTATTGACTTCGACAGCGTTGGTAACCTATGAGTTTCATTAATTAACGATTGAGTAGGACAGATGCCTATTGAAGCTTGCCTTGTTATACTGCGCGGCAAGCATACTGCCAGTTTCTTGAGAGCCCATGATGACGAAAGTAAAACTCCGGGGTAATAAATTCAGGTTTTCCTTAAACTAAATTATTTTCAAAGTAATTTGCATCTCATTTATGGTGCTAGCTGTGCAGTGATGATAACAAAAATCGCATTGGGGCTTGACATATCACGGGTCACCATTGCAACTGCAAACAGACGCGTAGTGGGACCAGTAAAATGAGTCAGTCCATGGTAACAATCCTGGCCTCCGTTGCAATTCCCCTCGCATGCCAATTGTGACTGGTAAGCATTGCTCCAGTTGAGGCTAGTGCAACTGTTGCAGGGGAGATAGAGGTATCTCCACGGAATTGGTTCCCGAGATCTCTCGATGCCTAACCTTGGGATTCCTGTGCGGGGTTGCCATAGTCATTACCTCGTGTACACTAACAGGCACTAAGTTGACATGAGTCAGTCACGCTGCCATTGGGGTTCAATTAATGGGGATACGTATCGGCTGAGTGGAGTCGCGTTTAAGGTCAGCAACCATAACCTGGGGATTGGAGATTCCGGGGTCCTGGGATCCGGGGTTCTGGGGTTTGCCAGGGTCAAGCTCGGGTGAATGCATTGGGTATATCTTTCTACCTACTCCTTACGGATATTATTGAGCTAACTTCCTGAAAATATCACACCAAAAGGTCAGGTCTGTTTGAGAATTTCGACAGCTTGCAAACACAACATCTCTTGTTCACAGTCACGCTACGGTCTCTGAGTCGAGATGTTGAGCAACTTACGGGGAAAGTACCTACAAGGTGCTATCACCTTCAGTGCTGGAAGTGCGTACCTGCTTTTTGGATACGACCAGGCAAGTTCTCGAGATCGTTCTCCTACAATCTATCAAGTACTTACCGAGCTACAGGGTGTTCTTGGCGGTCTTGTCACGCAGCCAAGCTTCCTCGATGCGATTGGCAATCCTAGCCCCAGTTTCCTCGGTCTGATTGTCGCGTTATACAACATTGGGTGTTTGGCAGGGTGTATCGTGGCATCTCTGGTTGGGAACAAATGGGGTCGACGGAAGATCATCATCTGGGGATGTGTCATTATGATTGCTGGTGGCATCATCCAATCCGCAACCTACGGAGCAGCCCAACTCATCGTGGGAAGACTGATTTCCGGTGTTGGTAATGGTGAGTCTGAATGGCTGGCAATTCAATGCCTCTTCACTAACATGATCAGGCATGAACACGAGTATCGTACCAGTTTATGTTTCGGAATGTTCGCGTGCAAAGCATCGTGGACGAGCCGTTGCGGTGCAGCTTTCCATTGTCATTGTAAGCAGATTCCTGTATGCTTGTACGACTGTAGCTGACCCCATTTCTCAGTTCGGTACTGTTGTAGCTTATTGGCTGGACTACGGAACTATTAAGCATCTGACTGGAGAGGTTGTTTGGAGATTTCCAATTGCTTTCCAGAATGTTTTTGCCCTCGTTACCGTTGCGACTCTCCCCTTTCTCCCGGAAACTCCGAGGTTAGTATTCACAAGTGCTCTCTCATACTATACACACCCTCGCTAACTTGTATCAACTAGATGGCTCTATTCGCATGAGTTCCGCGACGAAGCAATCAGTGTCCTTGCTCGGTTATACGACTGCCAGGAAGATGACCCTGTCATACACTCGGTCACACAAGAGATCGAATCAGCTTTGAGGCTTGAGCATCAGACCACCAAGCTCTCGATCAAGGACCTCATCAACGACAAGACACCTATCAAGAAGACACGCAGACTCGTTCTCTGCTTCATGATCCAATTTTGGCAACAGTTCACGGGAATCAACGTGATTGCTTTCTACGTAACGATCGTTCTCGAGACCAACGTTGGTTTGTCAAAGGATACAAGCAGTCTTGTCGCCGGATGCATCCAGATCGCCTTTTGGCTTGCCACATTCCCTCCCATGTTCTTGCTCGACAGGGTCGGACGTCGGCCCATGCTTATGCTAGGTTCTGTTTGCCTTTTGACTGCTATGGCTGTCTTTACGGCTGGAATCGCGGTCAATACGTCTTCAACGTCTGCGATGGCTCTTGCATTTCTCTTCATCTACGAGATTTCTTTCGGCATGTCTTGGAACGCTATTCCTTGGTTATATGCCCCAGAGATTACTCCCCTCGACTTGCGACACGTTGGTTCTTCTGTTGCCGCGTTTTCAGAGTGGTTGTGGACTTTTGTGAGTTTACATCTTTCAAGTTCTTTCCGTACTCCATACTGATGTCATAATAGGTCATTGCTCTCGTTACACCGTATGCCATCGACACTGCAGGTTGGAAGTTCTATCTCCTGTTCTGCGTCATGATTCTTCTCAACATCCCATTCACTTTCTTTTTCCTACCAGAGGTAAGTCCAGGGAATGTTTTGATCTTATCACTCCATCACTAACTGTATACAGACGAGTGGAAAGACTCTGGAGGAGCTCGATTATGTCTTTTCGGAAGAAGGATTCATCCCAGGCCAGAAGCCTTCTCCTACAGACACTCTGCAGCCAAATAGCAAGGAAGATGTCTCGGGAGACTGCCGCCAAGTGGAGAAGCAGGTTTGAGTGTTGGGAATATTCAGTAGATGCAGGGGTACTGGGTTCACCCTAGAATCATAAGGTCTTAGATTCATAGATTTCTTTTACATCTTGTATCGTTGCGATGTACACATCGTGAAGCTGCTGTGATCTAAATGGCGCTCCCCAAGCTTTCTTGAGAACGCGATCACGCGATGTATGTTTTCACGCCAGATTCATTGAGACATAACTAGTCAATCACATCATTTGATCTTGGACTTGGCATTACAGTTGCATCTACGTTGTTATATTAACTCATTGGCGTGAATAGATAGCTGTAACCATCAATGGAAACCGATCCTTGAACCCTTGAGAAACCGTCCAGTTTTTGAGATCCCGAATGTGCTTTTCGAATATTGAATGCAGGGCCCCCTCCCCGTCCAGGTCTGATATCGCATCCAGTCCGTCAAAATTCCAATTCACACTAACATTCTGGGAGTAGTAGTCTGAAAATAGCTGGAACGGGTACTCTGCTTGGTTATCTATGAGGATATCACGAACACCAGGCCTGGAGGGTCAGCTTGAGATTCACTCGTCATGACCATGATGGGATGTATACTGACCATGGTATGTTATCGATCCAGGCGGCATGCGGCACGGCTATTTGTGTAACGGTTGGTCTTAGCCATGAAGGCATATCGGTGTAGTGCTGTTTGGTGGGATGTATTTGCCACTATGATAATTAGTCTTGTTATATGGTAAAGACAATCTATCCCTACCTTCATCGTGTGGCACATGAGATAGAAGAAACCTAATTTCTCTGCCAAAGCTACAGAAGGGAACGTCGATAGGACGCGGGACATGATGCCACTTAGAGGATGCACCGTATCGACTTGTTCGATGTTGACCATGGCCCGCGTCGACGGTTTTCGGGGGCCAATAACTGACTCAGGATCCATGTTGTTGGATATCAGTTCTTTGCGAGATTTAAGGAACTCTAGAAGTATCAGGTCCAACGGGCATGTCGATGGTCCATGTGAAGGTAGGATAGTGTATACACCGTTGGACGGGGCATAATGTTCGAGGCCGGCCGTCATATCGCCAGATGCTAAGCATTGACCTGCTGCCGCTTGATCTATCATGTGAGACTCAGTTAAGCTTACATGCGAGGCGCAGTACGCAATATTGGAGCCTGTGGTGGCGTGTTGGTAGCTCCCAGCGGGTGACAAGAGCCCTAAATTGGCAGATGGAGAGATGTGACAGGTTGTATCGTCATTACGTATGACATCCGATGTAGTATGAGGTTGATCTCGTAAGAGAGCGACATTATCGCTGCAAGCTGGTGGGGTTTGACAAGATACGACATCATTGTCAAAATGCTCCTCTGGGTCTGGTAGTATAACATCTTCAGGATCTTGGCGCAGAGGTGAGGCGTCCTGATGAGTTGCAGATTCTGTGTCCATCTCATTCTCTTGTGGTGGTTGAGGCGTTTGTGCATGAAATTCACCGCCGCTCGCTTGGCCGGCATCGCTTTCCGCTGCCAAAGTTAGCTAGACACGCTGTAGATGGACTGGTATGTGCTTACTAGCCTGAGCCTGCGATTGGCCTTGTTCCTGGCCTTGGTCATGGTCACTCTCTATTTGGTTCAAAGCTGCAGTGATGAGCTTAGAGACATGACGCAGGCATTCTTGTAAGGATCTGTGCTCCTGGCGCATGTTGTTGATCTGCATGTCTTTCTGGCTGCAACTTTCGCGCAATGCAGCACATATCCCTTGAAGCTGTGAGAATTGCTGCTCAAGGTTATTGATACAGTCTTTATTCCGCTGACGGAAAGCCCGCTGGGCCTTACGATCCACATTGCGCTTGTGTTGGATCTGTTCCTTGGTAAGATCGGACACAGCCCTCGAACGCTTCCGTGAGGAAGAGGGCCTTGCTGCGGTGTCTGGCTGTAATTCACTCATAATCGTCTCACATGTAATAGTACAGACAGGCAGTAAGGCAGGGGTACGGCAAGTAAAGCAAATAAAACTGCAGTTTCCGGGCCCGGATCGAGACACGGATCCTGGATTTGACTGAGGGAGCTACCGAGGTGGGAGCACGGAGATCCCCGTGGGGTACGGGGTGCGGGGTAAACTTCCACGAAGAGTCACCGGTTAGATCCAGCCGGAGTCTGGGTCGCGATGCCTTGTATTGTTGCGTTGTGGTACGGTTTGCTGGGATCAAGACTGTAGTGAGGGAACAAGAGAAGAGGAGTGAAGCATGGTTGTGAGATTAGATTGGCATGAGTAATGTCAGTCGATACAAAATCGACTAGTAAAGTCTAAACCGATTTAGGATAGGTGCACACTACAACCAATGCAGCCAAGACCCTTAGTCGATCTAAGCTTTTCCCTCCCTCTGACGCGTTGTAGACTTTTTCTCTCATCAATGGCGCGCTAAGTCTACAGTTCGAGGTTACTGCTGGCCCCATCGCACTCTAATATGCCATGTTGATCAGAATTGTCTTTGGCTCTGTATATGCTCTCAACGCGTGCTCTCCATTCTCTCGACCAAGTCCACTTTCCTTGGTACCACCAAAAGGACACGAAAACGAGATGGTGCTGATGCAGTTGATGCCCACAACTCCAGAGTCAATCAGCGAGCTCAAACGAAGCGCCCGGCTGATATCCTGAGTGAAGACCCCGGCCATGAGTCCGTACTTGCTGTCGTTGGCTAACTCGAGGATTTCCTCCTCCGTGTCGAACTTGTTGATAACAGCGACTGGTCCAAAGATCTCTTCCTTGTAGATGAAGGATGTCTTGTCTGTCTCGGCAAAAACGGTGGGTTCGATAAAGTATCCCTGTTTCGGTCAGCTCAGGTCCCAGTTCAATTCTTCCTACAACGACGTCACTCGCCTTTTCACCCACTCGTTGCCCCCCGGTCAACACTTTTCCGTCGTTGTTTTTCTTGGCAGAAGATATAATACCCATGATGCGATCGTACTGGGCTTTGTCCACGACAGGTCCTATCTCGGTACCGGGCGCCTCCGGGTCACCGAGAACCTCCTTCTTTGCCTTGAGACGCTCCACGTAAGCTGCTACGAATTTGTCGTAAATCTTGGATTGCACAAAGACTCTGGTCGCTGCGAAGCAGATCTGACCAGAGTTGGTGACGAGTGCGTTGACAGCCCTAGTTTCTTCGTTAGCTGGGCCTGCTGCTGCCACAGATCAAATGTTCTCACCATTTGACTGCGTTCTCGAGATTCGCATCGTCAAAGACCACAGCAGGACTCTTTCCTCCGAGCTCCAGCGTCACCCGCTTCAAGTTGCTTTGGGCTGCCAGAACCTGCACGATCTTTCCTGTGGGGATACTTCCTGTGAAGCTTACCTTTGCAACGCGCATATGCGAAGCGAGAGCTGCACCTGTCGAACCATCACCTGTCAAAACCTGGAAAACGCCAGGAGGGAAGCCGGCCTCAAGCACAAGCTTTCCAAGCTCTGCGGCCATGAAAGGCGTCTTTTCGCTGGGCTTCAGGATGAAGACGTTGCCAGTTGCAAGTGCTGGGGCTGCTTTGAGGCCAACAGACGCCAATGGGCCATTCCATGGGATAATGCTAGCGACATGTTAGCTTACGTCCCGCCGGTCATCTGTAGAGAACTATGCTTCACCCTGCTACGACTCCAAGCGGCTCGTTTCGCACTATCTTGTAAAATCCATCATCTGCTGGGAAGCTCTGACCAGCATGCTTGTCCACCCACCCAGCGTAATCTATGTTATCAGCCTATTGATACCGTGATACATCTAGGAAACGCGGAACAGCTTACAGCGAAAACAACCGATAGCTGTTCCAATCTCAGACTTGCCAAATGGAAGGTATGGAGCTCCAAGGGTCAATCGAGTGAGGTAAGCAAGGCGCTCTTGATTGGCCTCAAGTAGATCAGCGAATTTGAGCAGGATTTCCCTTCTCTCGGTGTGTGTCAATTGCCGCCAGGGCGAGTTTGGCTTGAATGCCTCATTGGCGCAAGCAACTGCTTCGTCCACGTCTTCGTTGCCAGCGACAGGGATACGATCGCTGATTAGCTCCCCCGTAGCCGGATTATGTACGGTGACGCTTGTTGGCTGGTTAGTTATTGTAAGTACAATGGAAGACTGGGAAGTATTTACTGTTTCGAACTGTGACAATCGACATACTTTTAACTGTCAGTCTGTTCCCGGTAAAACGGTTTGATGGAATTCTCACTTTATTGTTAATAAATAATTGCGTCAAGTGCGGCTCGAGCTGCATGATGATGTATGTATGTATGTATGTATATTTTTCGTCCGGGGGCCGTGAGGCCCGTAAAGTCCCCTATTGGGGCACAGGACGTGCTGAGCTAGAGTCTCTAGTGCTAAAATCTACG